AACTTTCAAAGACATTGCTGTTTCTTTAATAGGTTTGCACCATATATTTCTAATAAATTACTAAACAATTCCTATGGTGAATTCCTTCTTCAGCAGCAAGGAGCTTTTAAGATTTCATAATCTCCTTGAACAAAAAAAGTTACAGAGTCAGAGCCAAGAGAGAAAGAGATTAATGTAAACCTTAACCGGGATCTTTGTAGAGAGATTGTGTACCACATTTTCCAAGATACATACAATGTTGTAGTTTGCAACACCATAAAATTCAAGCTATAGGAGCTTGTGGCTATTATTTTTAGGGATAGGGCTCTCAATCCCTCTCAGACAAGCCCTTCAAAACAGAGATGATAAATATTATATGTACATAGTGTCTGTATATTTGTCTATTCATAAAACTTGAGATGGTCTTTTTTCTCCTCCAGAAAATATATCTAATGATCACTTTGGGGGATTATATTAGATAATGTACATAAAGCATACTGTTATCATTATTATTGATGTTGAAAACAAATGCACTGGTTTCCATGTATGAGTATTCATCAGCACTGAGGACACTGCTGAGGACAAAGCATTCCAGTTTGTAGGACAAAAATGAGTCATGGAGAATTTGTATGATTACCAAGGGCAGCAGTTGACAAGAGCTGATATGCCTTAAGGCTCCCATGTCATCAGGGTATGAAACCCAGTGCCAATCCTTTAAATCCAAAAAAAAGCATGCCAAGATTAAAGGTTATTGCTTGAAAAAACTTTCTAGATACTTCACTGAAAAAGCAAAGCCTAGCTCATAGTTTATTTCGATTTATTAAACCATAATGGGTTCAGATGAAGGTAAGATTCTTAGAAAGGATTCAGAATCTTTTTAGCTATGTGTGTAGTCATTGAACTGGAAGCTAATGTTATCAACCACATCAATACTAAGAATGACTAAACACTAAAATCAACCTAATGTGAATAAGGAACAAAGGGAAATAAAGCTGTAGACTAAGGAATGGGAGAGAGATTTTTATAGGAAAAAGACTACTGTGTTTGGTACTAGTAGGACAGCCACCACAACTGAGGGACTGTACACTCTTTTTTCCTGCCACCTATTTCTCCAGTTTCTTAAATTATTATTTGTTTCTTAGTCACGCAAATGAGTGAAGGTCAATGTCAACAAGCTTTCCACATAGGTGTTTTTAACACATATGATACCGTCATAAGCACTGGAAAAAGAAGCCCACTCTGGGTGGAGCAATTAAAAAAGGCACCGTTCCTCCGGGCTAGGCCAGAGAGGCCTCCCACTCAACCCTTGAACTGGCCACAACCTGCACAGCCACGCGGTGGCCTTGCCTCCAACCAGGAAACCTTGGCTAACCCCACGGCACAAAGCGCACAACTTACTTTTAATAAGACGCTGATTGCACAGGCCATACCAACCGACCCAGTGCCTATAATGGAGATCTTACTGTGATGAACGGCCTCCCCGGAAGTGAAATCCGTAGTAAATTCACGCTTGACGGCCGCCATCTTGGAAACCTAAGTGAGAAAAACGGCAAAGCCACGTCTGGAGTAGGGACTGGTCCGCAGAGAACTCCTGGGCGCCGGTGGGGAAGGGGCTGCGGACTCAGCAAGGAAAGGCAAAGATGCCTGTCACAGCCGGGGGGCTTCTGGCCAGCAGCGCAGCACCCGAGGCAAACCGAGGAGGAGGAGGAGGAAGGTGTGTGGAGTCAGCAGGGACCGAAGGAAGGAAAAGGGGCCACCCCACCGAAGATGAGCCTACAGCCAGGACGGCCCTTGCTCCCCTCGCAGCCTGGTTCTCCCCTTCCCCAGCGGTCAGCTCCAGAACCGAGCTGAAGTCACACGCCCAGGCCCAGGCCCAGGCCCAGGCCCAAACACAGCCAGGCGCGGAGTACCTCCAGTCGCACTCGCGGGACAAGGGCCAGCGTCCCTCGAGGGGGGCACGTGCCACCCGCAAGGGACCCAGAGCCATCCTGGGCAAAAGAAATTAGCCCCCGCCATGTCCACTCACTGGCTGGCCTGCAGAACTCCCGCTGCCCAGCTCATGGCTGCTCACTTGAGAGGCAGAGGCAGAGGATGAAGGAAAGCTACTTGAGGTCCGTGGGGGTACACCGTTGATGTCGTCGTTGGCTGCACGAGCCGCGCCCAGCTCTTGCGGGCGCGAGGCCAGGGACCGGGATCTCTGAGGCCCTGCGCCCGCACGTGTTGCCCATCACCTGCGCGCGGTTGGCGGGTTGAGGCTGTCTGTAGCTGGCGGGGTTCGAAAAGGCTCCAAGGGTTCCAGTCACAGGAGGTGCGGCAGGTACATCGAATTAGGGGGTCTCGGCTGTGAAAAGGAATACTGCTTCCCTAGAACCCACCCGCCGAAGAGCCCCAGTGCGGCTATAGCAAACCAAACCATGTCTGAGTGTGTCCAGAGTGGGCTTTTAACGCCTGACTGGGAATTCTTCACTAGTTCTGTAGAAATCAGGGCTACGATTTCCCACCAACAAATGTGAGCTGAAGTAGAATAAATAAAAATTTTTAAATCTTCTATGCAATGGGGATTTTTAAATGAGATATGAAACCCTAAGAATTTGATCATTACAGTGCTGATAACAATTTCTACAAATGGAAGGGAAAATCAATTCATTATCTAAGTGTAGAATCCAAAATTCCCCTCTCATCCCCAAGTTTGAAATAAACCAAGACATGCACGTCTCTTCTCCTGCCACGTTCTACCTAGTTAACTGTTTTCTAACTAATCTGTGAATTGTGATACACAACACACATCTGACAAGTTATTTTCTAAAATGCAGGGCAGTGTTTCTCACTCTTTTAAAAATGATCTCTCCCTCAAGAGCTTTTTTAGACATTTTCCCCTAGTTATTTGATGCCCTCCCTCATTGTGAAATTAAGTACAATGATTTTTGACAGGTAGGGTTGAGCTTCAGAAATTAAAATCTTTGTAATATCTAAGATTTTCACACACACACACACACACACACACACACACACACACACTTTTCACCCTCTTGGGGGTCATATTGCCACTACTGAGAATACATGATGTAGAGCAGATGTACTTTCTAGAAAATTGACTGTAGAAACTGTAATTTACAGCTTTTCAATCTCTGTGAGAATTTCCTAAAATGAAATTAAAGATTTTTTAAAAGATTTTATTTATTTATAAACAGAGGGCGAGGGAGGAGAGAGGAAGAGAAACATCAATGTGTGGTTGGACTGGTGTGCCCCCTACTGTGGACCTGTTCCACCACCCAAAGCATATACCCTGACTGGGAATGGAACTGCCAACTGTTTGGTTTGCAAGCTGACACTCAATCCACTGAGCCACACCAGCCAGGGCAGATTTTATTAAAAAAAATTTTTGTTGTTGTTTTTAATATGATTTTTTAAAAGAGTTTATTTATTCATTTTTAGACAGAGGAGAAGGGAGGGAGAAAGAGAGAGAGAGAGACATCAATGTGTGGTTGTCTCTCACACACTCCCTACTGGGGACCTGGCCTGCAACCCAGGAATGTGCCCTGACTGGGAATGGAACCAAGGACCCTTTGGTTTGTAGGCCCACACTCAATCCACTGAGCCACACCAGCCAGGGCGATTTTATTTATTGTTAGGGAGAAGGAAAGGGAGGGAGAGAGAAAAGGAAAAACACACTGATGTGCGAGAGAAACATCAATTGGTTACGTCCCACACACCCCCAACTGGGGACCTGAATGGAACCATGGAACTGATGACCCCTTGGTTTGAGAGGCAATGCTGAGCCCACTGAGCCACACCAGTCAGGACAAGAGTGGCTTTTTTAAAAATCCAAAATCCACAGAAGATTCCCCTTTCCCACATTTTGTGCATTGAAGGGAAGTATTTTTTTTTTTAAGAAAGGAAAAGGAACAAAACAGGAAACTAATCATGTTCAGTAGATGACTAGAATGAAGGCTATTACGATAGCGAGAGTAACAGTGTGAATGAACTGTGACTCCATCAAATGGGTACGCCTGCTCTGCAGCCACACAGGCCCTCAGGGACTACACAACTGCCTTCCAATTCTTCCCACCAGTCTACTCTAATTTGTAGATTACCTTGGTCCTGATTTCCTGGTTTTTGTTCCATTGATATTTCCTATAGCTGCCTTATTTTTTTGTATAATCAAGGAAATATATGTTATATACATATATATATTTGTATATATAAATCAAAAGAATCACATTCATCCCTACCTTGGACACAAAGAGGGAGCTACCAACTGACTATTGTCAAGCATTCATTAATAATCAATAAGATGAGGTAGCTTAAATACTCACTGAGATACTTGAGGGCAGAAATTGTCATACTGGCCTTATAACCATAACACAGCAAGAATATTAGTAGTTTGCTGAATGAACTAGAAAGAATGTAATCCAGACATCCGAATTGAAAGTTCAAAATCAGCGGTTCCAGGTTTCATATTAGTTTGGGTTAATCACACAAACCAGGACAAATTTCCTTCTACTTATTTTCCAATGCAATATTTTCACTTAAGTCTGATGGTCTGAGCTCCTTGTGTACTATTTCAACAGACACCAAATCAACTATTTAAATTTATATGAATTGGTATAATACTTGCAGGGTTGAAGATATTTAAATTTTTTTACACCAAAGAAAGTTATAGTTTTATATTTCTTCTGCTATACATGGTCTTAAAAACAAGTACTTAGTAAAGATGATACACAGACGCAGGAAGCTAATGGAGCAATATAAAGTGAAAAGGTTGGGTCCCTAAGGGAAGGAAACACAAGATGAAATTTCAGTACTAGAAAAAGTGGTTGTTGTTTTGTGAGAAAAATCCTAAGTTCTATCTTATAATGGATTGTTATATTATTTTTCTAAACCTGAATACAGCTCTTCCTCTTGTGCAAGTTGGGTATCATTAGAATAAAGCTATGAGAGACTCATAAAAGAGGAGAAATCTCTTTAATATTTCCTTTACCAGCCATGAGAGACTGGAAGTATGCTATAGGTCTTCAATGTTTTCTTTTGTTTTTTCTGGATTAAATGAAAATACTTTCAAGATGTAAAATACACAGTTTGTTATTTTCTGCTGTATAAAACAGTGGAACATTAAAAGGCTTTAAAATACCAGGTCTTTTTGGATATTCCAAAGTGTGTCCGCACTCTTCTTAAAAAGGGCCTCCTCCTCAGAATTCAAGTTAAGTTTCACAATATCAGAGATACCATTTTGGCCCAAGATGCAAGGGATACTGAGAAAAATTTCTTCTTTTATTCCATAAAAGCCCTAAAAAGCAAAATTAGATTATTGTTCAGTAACCTGATACGGAAAAGCAGCTATGGAAAAGAGCTTCAGAGTAAGAGTATACTGGAGAGACAATGAAGCACAACAAGAATCCCTCAGAGGTGGCTAAGTGACTGTCAACACCACCAAGACCATCATGTTCTCTGACATTGGAACTTGTGTTCAGCAACATGGAAAATGTGCCAGAGCCTCAAAGTGACCAAAAAAGGCACTGTCTACTTTACCTCTTGCTGGGCCAGCCTTCCATCTAAGGGAAAGGATGCCATGCAGTCATTCATGATGTCATTTTAGCTGATAAAGAACTGTCAGATCAAGCAGTCTATATTTGGTATCAACTATATCAAGAGAACAGTGGATTCGGAAGCAGGAAGTAGTGGAGAAGGCCCTGTCTTGTATAAATGGACCTTTATATGAGGGAGTACCACTGAGTTTAAACAATGGATGCTGCAGGTGGCTTTGTAAGTCTCCAGAGGTGAAGCCTCCAATAGAATCTATGGGTGTAGGTGCTCTCTCGTGCCTAGCAGAGCCCGCACCAGTGGCCAGTGGAAGTGTACCCCTGCCCCGCTGGCTGCCTCTATCCATTGCCCTCACCTCACTTCTATCCTGAACCTTCCATAATGTACAGGACCCATGAAATAGGTGCAGTCACTGCCCTATCCTGGGCTTGCTGAATTTCTGGCTAAGAGCTTTAATGTTTCCTCCATGCCTGCACCTGAATCCAAGGCTACAGAAGCAGCTGCCAGAGACAGTCTATGAAAACCTGCACAACCCACACAATGCCTGCATGCCCATACACAAGCCTTGCCCTCTTCCTACTAGCCCTAGAAGATAAGAAGACCCAGTAGACTCCTCATTTCTCCCTGCCTCTCTCCACTCATTGTTCTTCCCTAACCCACCCTTTGGGGTTGAGTAGAGGATTGAAGGAAGCGAGGTCTTGTTCTTTCTCCAGGTCTGATTATAAACAGCAGACACTAGCATTCCGGGAAGGGAGAAGGCCCCTGACTCTAGAGTGGTGCCACCCAGCTTCCCACAATAGCTCAGAGCCCAGGGGCACTTCTCAGCCAAGCTTCCCTCTCACCATCTCTGGGGCTCTCCTCAGGAGCTCAGGATATACCCCTTGTTCCTGTTTTGCTCTAGACACCCACAGAGGGACTCTCCAGCCACCTCCTCCACTGAAGTCAGCTCCCTCATTTTGGCAGCCACTGTGTAGTCAACCTCATGAGCTCCATAAGACCAACCACCTGTCCTCCTCTGAGGGCCCCCTGCCAGGCTGTACTCACATTCACTCCACTCTGGTGGGGGCCTAGCTGTGGAGGGCACTGCCCCACCAGACTGTCAGCCCACATCCCATTCCCAGCCAGGCACCAGCTCCCGTTAAAACTCACCTTCCCTTCCTTTCCCTTTCCTCGGCCATTCTTTTGCCATCTCTGTGTAACTTTTGAAGTTTTAACATGAGCTTCCAGGGTGGTAACAACAAGGTCACTGTGGCTGGGAAAGGAAGCCCTCTGCAACACTATGATCTGGGAATTTGTTTCCTTCTACTTTCTCTGTCACTCTTCCTTCCAGAAGGGGATTCTCTGACTAGAACTGGACAATTCATGTCCATCCCATCATTACCATTTGGGGGTCTTCTGAGTGGGCTAAAAACAAGGGCCCTGACCCCTGGGGCCTGGCCCAGCCCTGTATGCTGACCATGACCTGCTGCCATGCCCTCCTGCCCTCTTCCTTTCAGTGGCCTGACCCTGCTTGCTTTTCCCTTCACCATGTACCCGCCTTTGCTCCCTTTGCTTTCTCTGCATTTCAACAACTGACCTTTTTTTCAGATCCTCAAGTGTTCTCTACTTATATCTACCTCAGACTCTCTTGCACATGTGTTCCCTCTTGCTTGGAATATTAGTCCCGCTTTCCAAATTAACTACTACTTGCTCTGGCTGGTGTGACTCAGTGGATTTAGTGCAGGCCTGGGAATCAAAAGGTCACCAGTTCAATTCCCAGTCAGGACACATGCCTGGGATTATGGACCAGGATTCCAGCTGGGGGTGTGTGAGAGGCAACCAGTCAATGTGTCTCTCACAAATCAATGTTTCATTCCCTCTCTTTCTCCCTGCCTTTCACTCTCTTTAACACTAAATAAGTAAAACCTTTAAAAAACTGCTACTCATTACTTGGATTAGGTCACATTTTACTTCCTCAGGAAGACTTCTCAAAACACCACAAATGCCTCCTTCCCAAAGCATTTAAAATCTTTTCTTGTATACTCTTAGCAGTTTTTAGTTTTTTCATCATAGTGCTTAGCATATTTTGTTATGTTTTCTTTCTCATTGTTTTTTATTAACTTATATGATGTCAAGGTCTGTTTTTTTTGTTCAAAATTATATACTCAACATCCTATATAATGCCCAGAACATAGTAAGAATTCAACAAGTATTAAAGACAATAAATAAAGATCAATTTAAGCCTACCTTAGCCATAGTGGAAACTGAATGCACTCTCCTAAGATTTTTCACCATTGATCCTACTAGATCAGTCACAGATAGGCCAATAGCCCAAGAAGTGTACCCCTTCAGCCTGAGAACCTCATAGCCACTACAGTTGCAGAAAATAAGAAAACCAAATTAATGAGGAGTCAACTTAGAAAATATATTTCAAGCATCCATTTTGAAGCAATCTACATGTCAAGGCCACTCCATTAACATTTTCTCAAAGGTTTCCTCCAGAAATTATTTATAAATAACCCATATAGGTTTCTTTTTTCATTATATTTTATTGATTATGCTATTACAGTTGTCCTGATCTTTTCCTCTTTGTCCCCTCTCCACCCAGCAACCCCTACTCCTTCAGGCAATCCCCACACCATTGTTCATGCCCATAAATCATGCATATGGTCTCTGGCTACTCAATTTCCTATATTGTACTTTACATCCCCATGGCTTTCTGTGGCTACCTATTGGTACTTCTATCCCCCCACCTCTTCACCCATTTCCCCTACACCCCCTACCATCTGTCAACCATCAAAATTCTCTCTATATCCATGATTCTGTCTCTGTTCTTGTTGTTCCCTTAGATTTTTAGATTCAATTGTTGACAAATTTGTATTGTTTGCCATTTTATTGTTCATAGTTTTGATCTTTTTTTCTTAAACAAGTCCCTTTAACATTTCATAATGGTTTGGCTCTAGTTGCTTTTTGTCTTTGAAGCTCTTAATCTGCCCTTCAGTTCTAAATGATAGCTTTGCTGGGTTAAAGCAGTCTTGCCTGTAGGTCTCTGCTTTTCATGCCTTTGAATATTTCTTGCCAATCTCCTCTAGCCTGCAAAGTTTCTTTTGAGAAATCAGCTGAGAGTCTTATGGGAACGCCTCTGTAGGTGACTAACTGCTTTTCTTTTGCTGCTTTTAAGAATCTCTCTTTATCTTTAACCTTTGGCATTTTACTTATGATATGTCTTGGAGTTGGCCTCTTTGTATCCATCTTATTTGGGACTCTCTGTGGTTCCTGGAATTGCATGCCTATTTCCTTCACCAAAGTGGAGAAGTTTTCTTTCATTATTTTTTCAAATGGATTTCCAATTTCTTGCTGTTTCTCCTCTCCTTTTGGCACACCTATGGTGTGAGTGTTGGACTTATTAAAGTTGTCCCAGAGGCTGCTTATACTATCCTCACTTTTTTGGATTCTTTTTTCTTCTTGTTGCTCTGACTGGTTTGTTTTTGTGTATTTTGTTTTTTGTTTTGTTTTTGCTGTTGTTTGCTTTTTGTTTTTTTTGGGGGGGGGGTTTGCTTCCTTACGTTCCAAATCATTGATTTGATTCTTGGTTGCATCCATTCTACTGTTGATTCCCTGTAAACTGTTCTTTATTTCCATTAGTGTATCCTTCATTACTGACTGGACCCCAAACCAGGGAGGCTGTGGAAGTCCTCACTAAGTTCCGTGAGCATCCTTATAACCAATGTTTTGAGTTCTGCATCTGATAGATTCCTTTCATTCAGCTCTTTTTCTCGAGTTTTGATCTATTCTTTCACTTGGGCCATGTTTCTTTGTCTCCTCATTTTGGCAGCCTCCCTGTATTTATTTCTGTGTATTAGGTAGAGCTGCTCTGACTCCGTCTTAGTAGTACAGCCTAATGTAGTAGATGTCCTACAAGGTCCAGTGACACAGCCTCCCCTATCACTCAAGCTGGGTACTTGCAGTGCACCCTTTGTATGGGCTGAGTACATGCTCCTCTTGTAGTTGAGCATTGATTGCTGTTGACAGGTTAATGGTAGGAATTTACCCAGGCTAGTCAGTTGCAAGGACTGGATATGACCACTTACCACCAACCTCTGCCCTCTGTGGAGGATGAGCTATGCAGGGGCAGGGTGGTGGTGCTCCAGTGTGGTCTATAGTTGTCCACTCGCTGTGCTGGCCCTGGAGTTCTCAGGTGGTGCAGGCCAAAGTCAGCCCTCACCTGTCTTCTTTCCAGGGCCACCCTGCCTGAGCTATAAAGCAATGAGATGGCTGCTATTTGTGCTATCCTTGGTGATTCCTAGGCAAAGCCAAGCTGTGACTCTAGGCTGACTACTGCAAGTGCTGGGTCTGGGGCTCACTGATGCCAGTTGTTGCTTGTTTGAGAGGATTCAGGAAGTTGTGAAGCATGAGCCAAGACCAGCCATTTATATAAAAAAGCAGCTTGGGTGGGTCCCAAAGTTGGATGGGGTGAAGTCTGTAGGGATCTCCAAGGCCAAACAGTATTAGTCAGGTTGATGGAGTCTCAGATATGGCATAAGCTTGCTGACTCAATCTGGATGGATGTGGTTTCTTTATTCCATAGTTGTCAGACTTCCATTTAACTTGATATCTGACAGTTCTGAGTGGTCATTGTTCTATATATTAGTTGTAATTTTGATGTGGTTGTGCAAAGAGGTGAGCCATGTCTGCCTGTGCCATCATATTTACTGAAAGTCCCATACTTTAAAAAAAAATAAGTACAGAGAGTATAGTATAGTAAATATATAAACTAGTTACACAGTCATTTATTATCATTATCACTTTTTATGTACTAAACAAAATTATATGTGCTGTACTTTTATATGACTGGCAGTACAGTAGGTTTGTTTATACCAGAACCACCACAAACACATGTATAGTCTTGTGCTATGACCTTACAAGGCTATGGCGTCTTTAGGGGATAGGAATTTTTCAGTTCTATTATAACTGAAACCAACAGTGGTCCCATAAAATGATAATACTCTATACTGTTTTCTGTCCATATCCTTTTTTAAAAAGTATTTTATCTATTTATTTTTAGAGAGAGGGGGAGGGAGGGAGAAATAGAGGGAGAGAAAACATTAATATGTGGTTGCCTCTCACATGTTCCCCACTGGGGAATTGGCCTGCAACTCAGGCATGTGCCCTGAGAATTGAACCAGTGACCCTTTGCTTCTCAGGCCAGCATTCAATCTACTGAGCCACACAAGCCAGGGCTGTCCACATCCTTTCATCAAGTTTAATAAACTTAATGCTAGATTAAAGCATGTAATGTCTCCTTAATTTGACAGCCTGAACTTCAAACCACTATTGATAACCATGTACTTTGTCTTATTTTTAAAATTGTGGTAAAACTGGTCATTTTAGCCCTGCAGGGTAGCTCAGTTGGTTATAGCATCATCCCAATGAGTCCAAATTGGGGTTTTGATCCCCTGACAGGGCACATAGAAGAATCAACCAATGAATGCATAAATAAGTGGAACAGTAAATCAATGTTCTTTTTTCTTGTACTTCTCTACTCCCCATCTCTTTCTCTCTCTCTCTAAAATCAATAATTTTTAAAAATTGGACATTTTAACCATTTTAAGTATATAATTCAATGGCATTAAATACACAAACACTGTTGTATAACTATTACCACCATCCTCTCCAGAACTTTGTCACCATCCCAGACTAAAACGCTGTACCCATTAGAGTGATTGTGTGATTTTATGTTCATAAAATAACTTTTTTTAAACTCAAGGACATTTAAAAAATAAAAACTTATCCAAAATCACTTTTTGCTATATTTTAGTCTCTGCCCTAATTCTGTACCTTTTTAGTCTCTGCCCTAATTCTTATACATTTCTGTAGGGTTGTTATCCTATACACACTACATTACACTTGAGCTTTTGTAAATTTAATGCTCCAGTCTAGAATATCCAAAAGTGATTTTAAAGTTGTGTAACTTTTATTAATATGTAACTTGGCTAAAGCATAACAGAGAATCATTTATGCTGTTAGAACTAACGTATGCCCGCCAGACACTTCATTTGAAGTAAACTAGTTAACTTCTGATCATGTGCATCAGCTTCACCTTTTTTCTTTTTTCATCAAGTCACTTGATAAACAAACTTCTAGGTGCTGTTCTAAGCATTTAACATGTACTAAATCACTTACTCTTCATAGCAGTCCTCTAAGATGGGCTCTATTATTGGTCCCATTTAAAAAACTTGCAAACTGAGCTTTTAAATTTTTTAATAACTTTCCAATATCACACCACTAATAAATGGTGAAGCCAGGATTCACACCTGGGCAACCTGGTTCCAAAGTGCATGCTCATAACCACTTGCTAAATTACCCTCTAAGTCTAACACATATGAGTTCTTTTAAAGTACATTTTCTTTGTGAAAAATGCCCTCCAAATAAAGCTACATATAAGTCTGAATTCAAGGATTTTCATAAGGTTTGAGTTATTTCTCTTACAAAATGCAAAGATCAACTATGTATTTTTTATGACCTTTGTTCTTATGTCTAATTATTAATGCATTAAGAACCTGTATGAATACTTTACCCCTGAACAACTTGTTGATGGATATTTTTCCAATGGTCCTTCTCTGAATCAGTTCCTAATTTGGGGTCTAAACTCTTCAGAGCAACACCAGCAACATTCACCCCACTCCATAAGGGCACTGAAAGAAATACATCTCAGAATGAATTCTTATTCCTAGTAGAGCATCAGTCGTTTGAGTTTAGTAATTTTTTATTATATTTTATTGTTTATGCAATTACAGTTGTCCCAGATTTTCCTCCTTTACGTCCCTCTACCGAGCCCCAACCCACAACTCCCTCAGGCAATCCCCACACTGTTGTCCAGGTCCATGGATCATGCATATATGTTTGGTTACTCTGTTCCCTATGCTGTACTTTGATCCTCATGACTATTCTATAACAACCAATTTGTACTTCTTAATCCCTTCACCTTTTTCACCTATACCCCTGACCTTCTCCCATTTGGCAACTATCAAAATATTCTCTGCATCTATAAGTCTGTTTCTGTTCTGCTTGTTTATTTAGTTTTTCAGAACCAATTGTTGATAGATATGTATTTTTGCCATTTTATTTTTCATGTTTATCTTAAAGAATATCCTTTAACATTTCATATAATATGGGTTTGGTGGTGATTAACTCTTTTAGCTTTTTCTTGTCTGAGAAGCTCTTTATCTGTCCTTCAATTCTAAATGATACCTTTGCTGGGTAGAAAAATCTTGGTTGTAGTTTTTTGCTCTCAGTAAGTTTGAATAATTCTTGCCACTCCTTTCTAGCCTGCAAAGTTTCTTTTGAGAAATCAGCTTTCAGTCTTATGAGGGCTTCCTTGTAGGTAACTAACTGCTTTTCTCTTGCTGCTTTTAAGATTCTTTGTCTTTAACCTTTGGCATTTTAACTATGATGACACTGGCTGGTGTGGCTCAGTGGATTGAGTGCCAGCCAGCATGCCAAAGATCGCCAGTTCGATTCCTGGTCAGGGCACATTCCTGGGTTGTGGGTCAGGTCCCCAGTCTGGGGTGTGTGAGAGGCAACTGATTGATATTTCTTTCACACACAGGGAGAATGTTTCTCTCCCTCTCTCTGTCACTCCCTTCCTCTCTCTAAAAATATGTGGGAGGAACACCATTCCACAGAGCTTCTCCCAGCCACCGCCGATGAGAAGTCAGTCATCCTGGACACCAACCTCTTGTTCCAGCGGGAAAGGGGGTGGTGATTCCCTCTAGTGGGGAACACCCTGAGACCTTCTCCCAAATGGCTTTTACTGGGAATGGTATGTGTAAGGGTATACAGCATACATGCATAGCTCATCAATCAATGTCAAAAGGCTATAGCCATACAAAAACAGGTATTATCTATAGATAACAATTAAAGGAACAGAGCTCTGCCATAGGTCAGGGTCTGTTAGTCATGCTGGCACCAGAGGGTCTTGAAGACATGTTTCATGAGATAAGGAGTTTACTCCTTATGCTTTGAACTTAAACATCTGGTTTATATCACCAGGGTTATACAAAACAAAGCAGAACAAGCTTCAAAGGATACAATGTATTTATCAGGCCTGATTTCCACAGGAACCCTCTGTGTTAGAGTTGGGTCATATCTGCCACCTGTATTACCTGGTTTTCCAGGGGGACTTACTAGCCCCTTTCAGGGCTTTCTCTCATGGGGCTACGGTCTCCAAAACCACACAGAGTGGTCCCCAACAAAAAAAAAGAAATAAAAACTTTTAATTATGATGTGTCTTGGTGTGAGACACTTTAGGTTCATCTTGTTTGGTACTTTCTTTGATCCTGGACTTGTACATCTATTTCTTTAATCAAGTTGTCATTATTTTTTCAAAGGTTTCCCATTTCTTACTTTCTCTCTTCTTCTGGCACCCAAGTGATATGAATAATAGTGCATTAGATGTTGTCCCATAGGCTCCTTACATAAGCTCTACTTTTATTTAGATTCTTTTTTTCTTCTTGCTGTTCTGATTGGTTGTGTTTTGCTTTCTTATATTCCAAATCACTGATCTGATTTGATCACTGATTTGACAAGCCATCTGTATGGAAAAGCCACTGGAAATAGCTTGGGTGGGCCCTAAAGTTGGGTGGGGCAGGCCTCAGGAAATCACCAGGGTAGGGAAAACAGTGATAGCCAGCTTGATGGAGTCTCAGATGTGGTGCCTGCCTGCCAGCTCTGTGGTTTTGTTGGGGGAATGCTCAGAAAAGGAAAAATGGCCTCTGCCAGCATTTCTGTCTAGGAAAGAGCTACCCCCCAGCTCTCACCGTGATGCCAGACAATTCATTTCCTCCTCATATGTCTCTGATGCCTTCCAATCTGCTGCATCTTGCAGGAACTCAGAAGGGACAAGTCTAAGTAAGTCTGTGCATGGGCCCTTTAAAAGCAACTGCCTGAGACTCCAAAAGTTTATGCCTTTAACAGCCTTGATTCCTCCTGGTTTTTATAGCCAGAAGTTATGCTCCTGACACTGGAACCCTGGGCTGTGGAATGTAGTGTGGGGTAGGACCACTCTCTCCTGAGATATCATTCCTGATTTTTATCCACCACAAGTGAGTGTTGCATGTCTTCGCTCCACCTACATGTTTTAATGTGCTTGCTTCTTTAACTCGGTAGTTGGTTTCTTCTTTAACTCTGTAGTTGTAAGACTTCCATTCAGCCCTATTTCTGATGGTTCTGGATGACGGTTGTTCTACAGTTTAGTTGCAATTTTGATGTGGTTGTGTGAGGAAGTGAGCTGTGTTTACCTATGCTGCCATCTTGACCAGGAATCCAAATTCAATTTGTTAACTTTTTAAAGGATTTATTGATTTATTTTTAGAGTGAGGGGAGAGGAGGGTAAAAGAGAGGGAGAGAAACATCGATGTGTGAAAGAAACATCATCAGTTGCCTCTCACACACCCCCAAATGGGGACCTGGCCTGCAACGCAGGCATGTGCCCTGACAGGGAATTGAACCAGTAGAACTTTCAGTCCACATGCTTGTACTCGATCCACTGAACTACACCAGCCAGGGCTAATTTCACTAAGTTTTGAATGAACTGAGATTACTACCTTATACCATATATATAAATACATTTCAAATGGACAAAAAGGGAAATTAAAAATAAAATAATGTGTTAGAGAAATATGTAGTAGAATTTATTTATAATTATGTGATAATAGGAAGCATTTTAAAGTAAGTTACAAGTACAGAATCCACAAAGAAAAGAATGGTTAAAAAGATAAAAAATTACAGGCAAAGGCCCTGGCTGGCGTAGCTCAGTGGATTGAGCAAGGGCTGCGAACCAAAGTGTCGCAGATTCGATTCCCAGTCAGGGTACATGCTTGGGTTGCAGGCCATGACCCCCAGCAACCGCACATTGATGTTTCTCTCTCTCTCTCTCTTTCTCCCTCCCTTCCTCTCTAAAAATAAATAAATAAAATCCTAAAAAAAAACTTGGTGTTAATGATATCTTTAAAAAAAAATTACAAGCAAAGAGGGTAAAGAACAACAAATTAACACCATACTTCTCAACAGAAACAAAGAGATGAGGGGAATAACTGTCAACCTTGAACCTCATATCCAATTAAACTGTCATTCAAGAATGAGGTGAAGTTCCTGGCCAGGTAGCTCAATTAATTAGAGCATTGACCCAATACTCCAACATTTGGGTTCAATCCCTGTTCAGGGCACATACAAAATCAACCAATGAATGCACAAATAAAGTGGAACAACAAATCAAAATTTTTCTCTTTCTCTCTAATTCTCTCTCCTTCCTTCCCTGGCTCTAAAATCAATAAATAAAAACTTTTAAAAAAAGAATGAGGTGAAGCTAAAACATTTTCACTTAAACAGCACTGACAGGATATACTTCAGAAAGAAAAAAATGAAGGCGTTAGATGCAAAAAGTAAAGACAAGCAATAAAATTGGAAAATATATTGATAAATTAAATCAGTAGTATTTCTCTGGTTGGTGTTGCTCAGTGGGTTGGGGGGGCAGCCTGTGGACTGAAAGGTTGCTGGTTCAATTTCTGGTCAGGACACATGCCTGGGTTGTGGGTCAGGTCCCCCAGTTGGGGGCGTGTGAGAGGCAACTGATCAACATTTCTCTCCCTGTCCTTCTCCCTCCTGTCCCCTCTCTCTAAAAAATAAAGTATTTTTTAAAAAACAGTAGTATTGTCTACTCAAAAATGATTATAAAAACAAGATGAACTAGAAAAATGGTTAATATTTGCATATATGACAGAAAGAGAATGATCAAACTTAAAGCATTCCAAGGTCTTTGCATTGTTCCAAAGAACAATAAAGGCACTAATTATTTTGAGGTCAAGTATGATAACTAAAAATGTATAGGTTACCACTTACAAAGTGAGTGTATAATGCAAAGTAATGGAGGAAACTGAAGAAAGTTTAACTGATTCAACAGAAAGCAGAAATAGAGAAATCTCACTGAACAGAATACTTATATATTAAAATAAATAGCAATCAGAATACACTACTTTGTTTTCAAATAAAATAATAGAATATTAAATGTGAGAAATTAAACATATCTAGGAAAAGTATCTTTAATGACTTTCAGGAGAAAGAGCTGAGTTAAGACAATAACACAAGCTGACAGGTCAAATTAAGTATTTGCCTAAGTCAATGAAGAAGTATTCATTATCCGATGACCCCTGTGGTAAAAAAAATACAAAACAAGAAGGGCTCATTAAATGCTTTGGATAAACAAATGAATGACTGAATTACTGGTCTCTGTTTTCAATGGGTTTATTGCCACTGTGGAAAGAAGATTTACACATACGACACAGAAAATATGGTAAGAAGTATATAGTTCTAATTGTGCTGCATAGCTTAAATATTTAAGTTAAAAGAAGAAAAAGGTTGGTGTGGCCTACGTAACAGTTTAAATGATATATTACATAAATTTATATGAAAAGTCTGAAATAAATCTACAGAGTCAAAAGTAAATTACTGGAGCTTGGGTGGGGGGTGAGTTCAGGAGCAGAAGTTTCTGGGGTGATGAAAATGCTCTATAATTAGATCGTGCACAAGTCTGTGAAGATACTAAAAACCAGTGAACATACAATTTAAATAGGTGAATTTTATGGCACATGAATCATACCTTAATAATGTTCTTTTAAAAAATAACAACAAGCCCTGGCTGGGTAGCTCAGTTGGTTGGACCATCATCCCAATATGCCAAGGTTGTGGGTTCGATCCCTTGTTAGGGTACATACAAGAACCAACCAATAAATGTATGAATAAGTGGAATGACAAATTAATGTTTCTCTCTCTCTCCCTTCCCCTCTTTCTCTCTAAAATAAGTCAATAAAAAAATTTTTTTTTAAAAAGCAATGAATGAAAGTGCTCTGGAAAACACTCATAAGAGAAACATTCACATCGAGACTTCCGGCAAGATGGAGGCATAGGTGGATGCACCGTACCTCCACGCACAACCAAGATTAGAACAACAACAATTTAGAGCCAGAATAACACCCAGAACTGACAGAGAATTTATCTGAATGGAAGCCGGACAGCCAAGAAGTTGAAGTAGACCTGTTCATCCAGACCTGCAGGAAGGGTGGAGAGGAGGAGCCAGGCACGGGGCTCGGCACATGGAGATGGGGGAGAACTGGGCGCATAAGGCAACCAGGAGCATGTAAGCCTTCCGGGATGCAGCGGTGGACCCTGAGTACGCAAGCGGCAGCTGGTGGACCCAGTGAGGCGGCATTGTGGACCAGGGCAGAGCACGCAACCCAGGATCCCAGAGAAGGGACTGAGATCCCAGGAGAACAGAGCTACCACCATTGTTCCCTCCCACCACCCCACCCCGAGCCCGCCCCCGCCCCCACATACAACATCACAATCTAGCGATTGGGGTGCCCAGCCCAGGGGAACACCTAAGGCTCCGCCCCTCACCGTAACAGAAGCACCCAGACCCAGAAAAAAAAATTTAAAAAAGAAGAGAGAGAGAGAAGAAGAGAGAGAGAGAGAAAGAGAGAGAGACAAAGAGAGAGACATGTGTCCAACAGAAGAACAGATCAGTCCCCCAGGACTCATCCTTTTGAGCAACCAAGAAATAGCCAATCTATCAGATGCACAGTTCAAAACACTGGTGATCAGGAAGCTCACAGAATTGGTTGATTTGGGGCGCAAATTAGATGAAAAAAAATGCAGGTTACCATAAAAGAGATGAAGGAAGATGCACGGAGAACCAAAAGTGAAGGGAAGGAAACTGGGACTCAAAACAATAGTGTGGACCAGAAGGAAGAAAAAAACAATCAAGCAGGAAAGAATGAAGAAATAAGAATTCAAAAAAACGAGGAGAAGCTGAGGAATCTCCAGGACATCTTTAAATGTTCCAGCATCTGAATTATAGGGGTACCAGAAGGGGAAGGGGAAAAGCAACAGATTGAGCACATATTTGAACAAATAATAAAGGAGAACTTCCCCATTCTGGCAAAGGAAATAGACTTCCAAGAAATCCAGGAAGCTCAGAGGGCCCCAAAGAAGTTGGACCCAAGAAGAAACACACCAAGGCACATCATAATTACATTAGCCAAGGTGAAAATGAAGGAGAGAATCCTAGAAGCAGCAAGAGATAAGGAGACAGTCACCTACAAAGGAGTTCCCATCCTACTGTCAGCTGATTTCTCCAAAGAGACCATACAGGCAAGAAGGGGCTAGAAAGAACTATTCCAAGTCATGAAAGGGAAGGGCCTACATCCCAGATTGCTCTATCCAGCAAAGCTTTCATTTAGTATGGAAGGGCAGATAAAGTGCTTCTCAGACAAGGTCAAGTTAAAGGAGTTCATCAACACCAAGCCCTTATTTTATGAAATGTTAAAGGGACTTATCTAAGAAAAGAAGATACAGAAAAAGGACAGTAAAGTAAAAGGACAGCAAACTCACAATTATTAACAACTACACCTAAAGCAAAACCAAAAGAAACTAAGCAAACAACTAGAACAGGAACAGAACCACAGAAATGGAGATCACATGGAGGGTTAGCAACAGGGAAGTGGGAGGAGGAGAGAGCGGGGAAAGGTACAGAGAATAAGTGGCATAGAATGTAGGTTGAAAATAGATAGGGGGAGGGTAAGAATAATATGGGAAATGTAGAAGCTAAAGAAGTTAAGACACATGGACATGAACTAAAGGGGGGGATATGGGTGGGAGAGGGTGTACAGGGTGGAGGGCAATGAAGGGGGGAAATGGGACAACTGTAATAGCATAATCAATAAAATATATTAAAAAAAGAAAAAAGAAACATTCACTGACTTTAATTTTTTTATTTTATTATTTTTTTGTCCTCACCTAAGGTCATTTGTTTTTCATTGCTTTCAGAGAGAGAAGGGAGAGAGGGAAACAATGTGAGAGAGAAGCATGGATTGACTGCCTCCTGTAGGCACCCAGGACAGGGATCATGTGTGCCCAGAGCCAGGACTGTATGTGTCCGGACCAAGGATAGTATGGGCCCACACTTGGACCAAGGATCAAACCCACAACCTAGGTATGTGCCCTGACTGGGAATTGAACCCGCAACCTTTTGGTTATGGGATGATGCTCCAACCCACTGGCTACGGCAGAGAAACACTAACTTTTAAAACAGCCATATGCTCTATGTACAACTTTATGAGTGGTAATTAAATCAATGATCGAAAAGACTAAAAATAATGGAATAGAAAAAGATAGCTATACTGGGAAAATGACAATAAAACAAAAGTTACACAGCTATATTAGTATCAGAAAAAAATAGGCTTTAAAGAAAATAAGCATCATTACAGATAAGAAGTATAACTACATAATACAAATAGATTTATACTTACCACTAGAATCACCATGTTCCCCAATAATCCAACCATGGCAACTACTGGGATGGATACCCAACTTGTCTCCAATTAGGTAACGGAAACGGGCAGAGTCTAGATTACAACCACTTCCGATTACACGAGTGACAGGTAAGCCACTTAGTTTCCAGACCACGTATGTCAAAATATCCACTAGGGAGAATAATTTCTTATTAGAAAAAAATTTACAGTAACTTCCTTTTATATTTGTTTTTCTGAATAGATAAATCAATTATCTTGGACTCAAATACAGATTTATTACTGAGTTCGAGGTGAAGTAAATCAACAAAGAAATATTCATAATCTCTCACATAGGTTTTAGAAGTTTAAATTATTAACTATAATTTTTAAATTCTCTTTTGAGATAATATACATGCATATTTAATAACCAGTCAGTTAATTTTACCTCATTAAGATTGCCTACATTTTTCCTCTCTATCACCACAGCCTCATCTAAGCTATCAGCATCTCCTACCTAGAATAAGACCACATGCATAGCCAGGGCAGTGTGCAGCTCTGTGCAAGCTCAGGAAAAACATGACAAGATCCTAAGCTTAAGCTCTGTCTGACCTTGAGGCTCTGTGCAAGCAGGAAGAAAAGGGCACATTTGTAAATTGGCTAGCCAAATGTTGAAGGCTTACTGCATCGTGCACAGAGCCCTCCAGCAAAGACTGGGAGATACTTATGGTTCCAAATTTAAAGAAAGTTGTGGCTAGGACGTCCAGTCAAAATGGTGATGTAGGCAGACATGGCTCACCTCTTTGTACAACCACATCAAAACTGCAACTAAAATATAGAACAATCATCACTCAGAACCATCAGAAATAGAGTTGAATGTAAGTCTGACAACTATGGAATTAAACCACATTTATCCAGACTGGTAGGAGGATTGTGGATATGGTATGGGCTGGTCCCACACCCACATGAGGTGGATAAAAATTTGGGAAGGGTATCTCAGGAGTGAAGAGTCCCAGTCCCACACCAGATCTCCCAGCCCAGGGTTCCAGTGCAAGGAAGATAACTCCCCACAACTTCTGCCTGCAAAAACCAAAAGGGATTGAGTAGAGAGAAGAAACTTCTGGAGCCCCAAGCAGTTCCTCCTAAAGAACCTACACATGAACTCACCTATTCAGACTCATTCCTTTTGAGCTCCAGCACTGGGGTACCAGTTTGAAAGGCACCAGTGGCAAACAGTGAGGAACTTTAGTGTCTGGCATCAAGGCTAGCAAGGGCATTGTCTCTTTACTGAACCCTCCCCCAACAGAGCCACAGAGAAAACTAGCTGGTGCCGTATCTGAGACTCCATCAACCTGGCTAACACTGTTTGACATGCTTGGAGATCCCCAGAGACTCCACCCCACTCAATTTATAGGCCTACCCTAGCTGCTTTTCTGAATGAATGGCTGATCTTGGCTCATGCTTCCAAAGTTCCTAAACCCTTTCAAACAAGCAACAACTGGCCTCAGTGAGCCTCAGGCCTGGCACTAGCAGCAGCCAGCCTAGAGTCACAGATTGGCTTTGCCTAGGAATCTCTAAGCTGAGCACAAGTAACAGCCATCTCAGATTGCTTTTATAGCTCAGGCCGAGTGGCCCCAGGCAAAACACAGGTGGGAGCTGACCTTGGCCTTGATCACCCCGAAAACTCCAGAGCCATTGTACCCAGTGGACAACTACAGGCCATGTCGGAGTACCACTGCTCCTGCACAGCTGATCCTACACAAAAGGCAGAGGTTGGTGGTCAGTGGTTACAGCCAGTCTTTGTAGCTGACTGGCCTGGGTAAATCCCTCCCATTAACCTGCCAACAGCAATCAAGGCTCAACTACAAGAGGAGGGTGTACTTAGCTCACACCAAGGGTATATCTCAAGTACCCAGCTTGGGTGGCAGGAAAGGTCATGCCACTGGACCCTACAGGACGCTTACTACATTAGGCTGTACTACTAAGACAGGGAGTCAGAGCAGCTCTACCAAATACACAGAAACAAACACAGGGAGGCTGTCAAAACAAGGAGACAAAGAAACATGGCCCAAATGAAAGAACAGATCACAACTCCATAAAAAGCTAAATGAAAGGGAAATAAGCAATCTATCAGATACAGAACTCAAAACACTGGTTATATGGATGCTCAAGGAACTTTGTGAGGACCTCAGCAGCATAAAAAAAAATCCACTCAAAAACGAGGGATACACTAATGGAAATAAAGAATAATTTACAGGGAATCAACAGTAGAGTGGATAAAATCAAGAATCAAATCAATGATTTGGAATATAAGGTAGGAAAAAACAACCAATTGGAACAACAAGAAGAAAAAAAGAATCCAAAAAAGGAGGATGGTATAAGCAGCCTCTGGGACAACTTAAATAGGTTCAACATTTATATCATCGGGGTACCAGAAGAAAAGAGAATAGCAAGAAATCAGAAATCTATTTGAAAAAATAATCAAAGAAAACTTCCCTAATTTAGTGAAGGAAATAGACATGCAAGTCCAGGAAGCACAGAGAGTCCAAAATAAGGTGGATGCACAGAGGCCAGCTCCAAGACACATCATAATTAAAACGCCAAAGGTTAAAGATAAAGAAATAATTTTAAAAGCAGCAAGAGAAAAGAAGTTAGTTACCTATAGGGGAGTTCCCATAAGACTCTCAGCTGATTTCTCAAAAGAAACTTTGCAGGCTAGAGGAGATTGGCAAGAAATATTCAAAGGCATGAAAAGCAGGCACCTACAGCCAAGATTGATATACCCCACAAAGATATCATTTAGAATTGAAAGGCAGATAAAGAGCTTTCTAGACAAGAAAAAACTAAAGACGGTCATCATCACCAAATCATTATTATATGAAATGTTACAGGGACTTACTTAAGAAACAGATCAAAACTATGAACAATTACAATTACTGGCAATAAATACATATCTATCACCAAGATAAATACCATATGATCTCACCTATAAGTGGAAATTAATCAACAAAACAAACAAGCAAGCAAAATAGAACCAGAGACTTGGAAATAAAGAACAAACTGACAGTAAGCAGAGGGGATGGGGGAGAGAGGTTACCAGGGGGAAAAAAGGGGAAGGGTCAAGTCAAGGAACATGTATATAAAGGACCCATGGACAAGGACAATGAAGGGGAAGACTGAGTGTGGGAAAGGGTAGGTAGGCAGGGCAGGGAAGAGCAATGGGGGAAAAATGGGGACAACTGTAGATGAACAACAATAAAAAAATTTTAATGATTGAATCTAAAAAACAAACTAAGCAAACAAGAGCAGAGACAGAATCATGGATATAGAGTGTTTTGATGGTTGCCAAATGGGAGTGGGGTAAGGGAGCATGGGTGGAAGAGGAGAGGCATTTAAGAAATACAAATAGGTAGTTATGGAATAGCCATGGGGATGTAGAGTACAGTATAGGAAATGGAGTAGCCAAATAACTCATATGCATGGCCCATGGACATTGGTGGGGGAACTGCCTGAAGGAGTGGGAGGTACTGGGTGGAGGGATTAGAGGGAGAAAAACCATGACAACCATAATAGTATAATCAACAAAATATAATTAAAAAAACAAAACCAATAGTATTTCTATATACTAGCAATATGCAATTGAAAATGAAATGTAAAAAACAACTCTTTTTATGGCATCAAAAACATAAAATATTCAAGCAGGAATATATGTGAGGATGTGGAGAAAAGGGGACACTTGTGTACTACTGGTGGGAACATAAACTGGGACAGCCACTACAAAAGAGAGTTTTGAGTTTCCTCAAAAAATTCCTCAAAATAGAACTACCATATGATCTAGCAATCACACTTCTGGGTATACACCCAAAGGAAATGAAATCAGTATCTCAGAGAGACAGCTCAACTCCCAAGTTCGTTGCAGTGTCATTCACAATAGCCAAGATAGGAAACAACCTAGGTATCTGTGTATGGATGGATAGATAAAGAAAATATGGTATACACATATACAATGAAATATCTAGCTACAAGAAAGAAGGAAATTCTGCTGTTTGTGACAACATGGATGGACCTTGAAGGCATTATGCTAAGTAAAATAAGTGACAGAGAAAGACATTGTATGATGTCATTTGTGTGTGAAATCTAAAACAAACAAACAAACAAACACACAAACAAACAAAAAACCACTAACTCATAGAAACGAAGTACAATGGTGGTTGCCAGGGGCTGGGGAAGGGAATATAATGAGGAGATGTCAGCCAAGAATAAACTTACACTTTCAGATATCAGATGAATAAGTTCTAGGGATCTAATACATGGCACTAGTGACTATAGTTAACGATATTGTATTATATATTTGAACATTGCTAAGATAGTGAATCTTACATGTTCTCACCATAATAAAGAAATGGTAATTACAGTCATATATGTGAACCTTCCATACCTATGGTATTCACAACTGTGGATTCAACCAACCAAATGCAGACCAAAAATCTTTGAAAAAAATTCCAGGAAGTTCCAAAAGCAAAACTAGAATTTACCACACACTGAGCACTATGCTGATTCCATGCAAATGAAATAACATGTAGGCATACCCTGTTGTAGTCCATATGCAAATAAAGGTTATATGCAACTCCTACTCCCTTTTATAAATGGGACTTGACCATCCAAAAATTCTGGTATCTAGTGGGGTACCAAATGCCCTAAGAATACCAAGGATGACTGTATGTGAGGTGATGGAGATAATAACTAACCCTACTGCGGTAATCATTTCCCAAAATGTAAATGTATCAAATCATCATCACACTGTACACCTTAAACTTCCATGTATGTGGCAATTATATTTCAAATAGCTGGAAAAAAACTTATTGTATTGTTTACTTTGAATGGGTACAGTTTATTATACACAAATTTTACCTCAATAAAGTTGTTTTAAAAAGGAAGAAATAGTATGGAAAGACCATCCTTATGCAGTTAAAGAGAAAAGACTCACCTGGATTTGAGACAATAAGCATCTTACAATCAGGACTATGACGGACTAGGGCAGGAATGACTGATTTCATGATCTCCACATTACGTTGAACCAGGGCAAGACGTGTTTCTCCCACCTTTTGACGCGCACCTGCTGTGATAATAATTATTTTGGAGTTTGCAGATACACTGTAATCTAAAAGGGAAACAAAAGACAGTATTTGGATCAAGCTTGCCATAATGACTGTGCCTTAATTCTTTAAAAGTCTATTGTATGACCTTAGTATAAAAGTACTCATACCTCATGTCTGACATCTGGAAATGAACAGACTTTCCATGTAGTAATGTTATTTTGAATAACCTACAGGAAGTTTTGTCACTATGACTTACAATTTTCATATGGCTTTTAAAAAAATAACAACACAATCTACTATCCTTTTAAACCCACACTGTCACTTGTTATTAAGGCCCAAGGCAATGCAAGTCATCTCTCTGACTTTGTAGAAACACCTTATGTATCAAAAGCTCAGAACTCAGAAAATTATGTAGATGTTTCAAGATTCTAAGAGTAAGAATGCATTTATTTCTAAATGAAAGACTGGATTTGAGATTACACGCAAGTTCTTGATTCACACAAAAAATAGCCTTCTAAATCCAATGACCAGCTGGAAAATTGTTTCATCTATTAGAGCCAATGACAATATGTGATGCTCGCTATCCTATACTGGACTTGTTTTAAAGCATTATATACCTGGAAGTTATTTATCATATGGATGTTGAAAATTAAATTAGATAAAATCTCTTCTATATCCCCATCTCTATTTTTAAAAATTAGTTTTATGCTCTTTTGAAAAGGACATTTGTTCAAGTGTCGCAGGTTCGATTCCCAGTCAGGGTACATGCCTGGGTTGCAGGCCATGACCCCCAGCAACCGCACACTGATGTTTCTCTCTCTCTCTTTCTCCCTCCCTTCCCTCTGTAAAAATAAATAAATAAAATCTTTAAAAAAAAAAGAAAGAAAAAAAAGAAAAGGACATTTGTTCAATTTTAAAGATACTATCACATCTTCATTTATAATCATTCTCATTATCCTAATCCAAATCACAAACTGTAAACACTTTATATGTTGTTCCTGGCCCAGTAAAATTTTAGTCAGAAAGACAATGTAAAAAAATAACATTTCTTAGGCTAACATGTTTCACATTAATCTTAAAGACTATCTCTCCCTTCTATCATGTAAAGGATTTATAGAAGTTCTCTCTCTGCAGTCAACTCATTCTTGCTCAAAAATCTTGCTTGAGATAACCTTCCATAAACTCTTACCTAACCAGAGAAACCCCAAGTAATCTCTCAATCTCTGTCTCTGTCTTTCCCTATCCCCCTTTCCCTCCCTTCTCCCCACCTCAATTTTTAGAGGATATACAGACAAAAACCCTTGCAACTTCTCCAAAGTCATCTCTCCACAGTTCAGATAAATTATTTGAAATATTGTGCCTAGTAAGTCAATTAAAGTGCATACCAAAGTAAACTATCAAGTCTTCATAATCTGCCTCCAAATCATTTTACTAGCTCTGTGTCTTATTTTTATGTCAAATTTTCCAGGTGCCCTGGTTTTGTTAATGCTACCATCTCCCTACCTGTTACTTATTTTTCTACTTAAGTATAACTCAGTCCTCCAGGAGACAGTAAACCATAATGGTCTGGAGCAAAGACTGAGGTCCAACTGCCTATATTTTGACTTTGCCACTTCCTACCTGTATGACCCCAGAAAAGTATTTTGCATGTTCTCTGACTCTCAGTTCCTCATCGACAAGATCAAGCTGATCATAGTTCTTCCTTTAGATGATTCAGTGAGTTTAATATACATAGTATTCAGAACAGTGCCTTGTACACATTAAATGTTCAATAAATGTTAGCAATTATTATTATATCATTAGTCAAGTATTTCTTTAAATAACAATTCCTCTGCTAGGTATCCCCTAATCATATTATTAACAAATACTACTCTCTTATTTCACTGAATTTTTATAGCACTTACTGCTTATAATTCTCAAATAGTCCATATATATACTGCCTTATGTTATCTTCCCATTGTTTTTTCATAGTTAACACTTACCTTGATCCCAAGATCCATAGTAACAGGTTCTGACCTCCCATTCCTACCTTTCTTTCATAAATATTTTAGCACCTTCTATGTTCCAAGCACTTGAGATCTGTTAACTATTGTACATACATTCAGGATTGAGATACGAATAGATGTTACAGAACATATCAACTGAATTGGTAATGTTTCACTTGGATGCACTGATGTTTGTTATACTTAAACTCTTTATATTTAAAATTTAATATTTTAAAATAATTATTTCTATGAACATTAATTTTAATGTCTTAGACATTAAAAGCATATTGTTTTAAAATTATCTTTTTAAGTGCAAAAAAAAATAAAAGTGACGGAAAACCATAAAATTTAGTAGTTTCGTGTTTAAATTGCTTCATGACTATCTTTAAATTAATTGTAGTACTTTAAAGACATTGAAGTGATCACTGTTAGTGTGCTTTATAAAAGATACTGCAAAAGTTCAATAGGCCAAGTTGTACACAAAGGCCTTGCTCTACAATCAGAAACTTAGCAAATGAACTTCTAAGTATGTTTACATGTTTTAGGCCAATATGAAATGTTTACAATGTCCCTTTCCAACAGCATTTTTTAAGATTTTTTATTTATTTATTTTTAGAGAAAAGGGAAGGGAGACAGAAAGAGAGGGACAGAAACATCTATGTGATCTGAGAGAAATATCAATTGGTTGCCTTTCCCACGCCCCCAACTGGAGACCTGGCCTACAACCCAGGCATGTGCCCTGACCAGGAATCGAACCAGCAACCTTTCAGTCAACAGGATGACACCCAAGCCACTAAGCCACACCAGTCAGGGCTATAACAGAATTTTTAAATTAAGTAACCACATTCCATTTCAATGTTTTATAAGAGGGTTTTTAGTAGAAAATATGTCTGTTGAATCAAATTACCTAACAGCATACTATGCACTTCAGTCCATGATAAATTAATTATTTTGCCTAATTCTCTGAGGCTTCTTAGTTGGTCAAGACGTGATGCTAATGCTAATGCTAATCTCTATTTCCTGTTCTCACACTATACCCTGAAAACTGATCCTCTATAAGGACAAATAGAAAACCACGTTAAAAAGTATAGATAAATAGCCCTGGCTGGCATAGCTCAGTGGATTGAGTGTGGGTCTGTGAATCAGAGGGTTGCCAGTTCAATTCCCAGTCTAGGGCACATGCCTGGGTTGCAGGCTGGGTCCCCAGAGGGGGAACAACACATGAGAGGCAACCACACATTGATGTTTCTATCCCTCTCTTTCTCCTTCCCTTCCCCTCTCTCTAAAAATTTTTTTAAAAGTATAGATAAATATATCAATAGTAGTCAAGACTACATTTACTATGGAAAAATCTAAGATGGAATGATAAGTTGAAAAAGCATTTATAGCCCTGGCCAGTGTGGTTCAGTTGGCTGAGTGTTGTCCCACCCAACCAAAAGATCGTTCATTTCTGGGTTCAATTCCCTGTCAGGGGCAAACATCTGGGTCACAGGTTCAGTCCCGTCAGGGCATGTACAGGAAGCAACCAGTCAATGTTCCTCTCTCACATCAGTGTTTCTCTCCCTCTCTTTCTACCTCCCTTCCCCTCTCTATAGAATCAATAAAAATTAATAAAATAAAATTAAAAATTAAAAATAAAAAGCATTAATATGTCAGTTATGTAAAAAACCAAATGAATAAAAAAATAAAACAAAACTATTAGAAAAGACTTTAAATTTTCTTTATGCATTTTTGTATTCAGTAACCTTTGTCCAATGAGAATGGATGTTCTTTTTAAAAGAAAAACAAACTAATCTTTAAAACTGTAAGTCCTAATGACAATGGTACTATTTTTAATTCTATATTTATGGATATCAGTTTGGTAAAATTCATTATTTTTTAAAGCTTTGAAAATAACTTTATAAAATTAAAATTAACCTTTTCCAGAGACAATCTTTGGAGTATGAAAGAAAAGACTGCCGTGCTGAAGATCCAACATTTCTCCCTTTAATTTGTCTTCTGCGACATCAATAAGTGCAAGTTCATCAGTCAAATCCTAAAATACATGAAAGTTATGAATAAAATATTCTGGAAAATGTTCCTATTGCCATTTTAGGAGGATGAGAAAAAATTTTGTGTGGCTATTTTATAATCAAAGGAGTTATATTTTTAATAGCAAAATGATATAGAAATGATAATTTCGGACTTCTGGTCAAGATGGAGGCATAGGTAGGCACACTTACCTTCCTCACCCAACCATAGAAAGAATTACAACTAGATTGCAAAACAACACCCAGTACCATCAGAAAATTGAGCTATACGGAAGTCCAACAACCAAGAATTTAAAGAAACCACTTTCATCTAGACAGGTAGGAGAGGCGGAGAAGCATGGGGACATGGTGCAGCACAGGGAGGTGGCAGCAGCACGCTGGATGGTCCCACAGTCACATATGGTGGGTAAAAATCAGGAGGGATACCTTGGGACCAAGTGATGCCAACCCCAGGCCAAACCACACAGCCCAAGGTTCCAGTGCTGGGCAGATAAATCCCCACCTCTGGCTGTAAAAACCAGTGAGGGTTTGGGCAGTGGAACAAACTGCTGGGTTTTCAGGAGACTCGTTTAAAGGGCATGCACAGACTTAGACGTAAGCAAACCCATCCACTATGGGATTCACCACCAGGGTAACAGCTGGAAGGGCACCACTAGCATACAGGAAGTGAATGAAGTGACTGGAAACAAGGTGAGTCCTGAGCAAACCACCAGAAGCCAGGCAGTGAGTTGCATTGTCTCCTCTTCCCCAACACAGAGCCCAAAAGCACTGAAGGTGTTGCCCCACCCTGGCAAATACCTAAGACTCTGTCCCATACAATTTACAGGTGCCTTTTCTACAATAGCCCACACTATTAAGACAGGGAGTCAAAGCAGCTCTACCTAATATATAGAAAAAAACACAGGGAGGCTGCCAAATGGAGGAGACAAAGAAATAGGGCCCAAATGAAAGAAGAGAAAAAAAAAAACAGAAAAAGAACTAAGTAAAACAGAGAAAACAGAGATAAACAACCTATCAGATGTAGAGTTCAAAACACTGGTGATCCAAATGCTCAAAGAACTCACTGAGTATGGCAACAACATAAAGGAAGAAATGAAGGTTACACTAAATAAAATAGAGAACAATCTACAGGGAACCATCAGTGGAAGGGAAGAACACGGGATTCAAATCAACAATTTGGAACATTAGGAAGAAATAAGCACTCAACCAGAACAGCAGGAAGAAAAAGGAATTCAAAAAAATGAGGAAAGTATAAGGACGCTCTGAGACATCTGCAAATGTACCAACATCCAAATCAACTTCCTCTTTGCCAGAAGGAGAAGAGGGAGAGCAAGACTGAAAACTTATTTGAAAAAATAATGAAAGAAAACTAACCAATCTGGTGAAAGAAATAGACATACAAGTCCAGGAAACAAGTTGTACCCAAAGAGGACCACACCAAGACACATCATAATTAAGATGCCAAAGGTTAAAGATAAGGAGAGAATCTTAAAAGTAGCAAGAAAAAAGCAGAGTTACCTACAAAGTAGTTCCAATAAGACTGTCAGCTGATTTCTCAAAAGAAACTTTGCAGGCAAAAAAGGACTGGCAAGATTCATAGTGATGAAAAATCTAGACATACAATCTAGATTACTCTATCCAGCAAAGCTATCATTTAGAATAGAAGGACAGATAAGTGCTTCCCAAACATGGTAAAGCCAAAGGAGTTCATCATCACCAAGATATTAATTATTACATGAAATGTTAAAGGGACTTATTTAGGAAAAAGAGGATCAAAACTACAAACATTAAAATGGCAACAAATTAACAACTATCAACACTGAATCTAAAAAAAAACAAAACAAACAAAAAAAAAAACTAAACAAACAACCAGAACAGGAACAGAATCATAGATATGGGGACCATTTGGAGGATTATCAACAGGAAATGGGGAGGGGAGAATGATAGAAAAGGTGCAGGGATTAAGAAGCATAATTGGTAGACAGAAAATAGACAGGGGTATGTTAAGAATAGTACAGGAAATAGAGAAGCCAAAGAACTTAATATGCATGACCCATGGACATGAACTAAGGGGGAAGATTGCTGGAACAAAGGTGAGTACCCAGTGGAGTAGAGCAAAGGGGGAAAAATTGGGACAACTGTGATAGCATCACCAATAAAATATATATATTTTTAAATGACAATTTTTGAATATGCCTAGAATGATCAGAAGTCAAGGTAGACAACAGAATGTAGCAAAAAGTGTTGTTTTGCCATCATACACTTGTTAATTTTTTTTAGAATTGGTTTTTTTGTACTTCAGATAGCAGTTTTAAACAAATGAAAAGTTATGAAATTCTGTCAAAGAATTTTATTATATTTAACCTGTATGCCTAATTTCTGAGTTGACTAAAGTTACTTTCCATATGAATCCTTATGGCCAAAAGAGAAAGGCAGTCATCTATGGGAAATGAATTCCTCATGGGTCAGTATGCACATTAATGTCAATTCTCCAATCTATAATAGTAGATGGGCATATAACCAGATCCAACCAATTGTTCCATCTTCCTCTGGTCACAGAAATTAGTTCACAAATGAGCATGCAGCCCAGGCATAATAAATGTCTATGAGGTTTGCAAATTAAAGATGGGAAATTAAGTCTCATTTTTCTTTGTAATCATAGCTCTAAGAATGATATAAGACTCTAAGAACCATGGAAATGGACAACAGTGGGGTGAATGCAGGGAGGGGGATGAAGTTGGGAGGGGGTATGGAGGAATAAATGGTGATGGAAAAAATTTTAAAAATAAAAAAACAGACTCTAAGAACTGTATAGCCATCTTTATCATACACAGAAAGACCTGCCTCAGAATTCAGCCAATAAGGGAAATATAAACAAAGATATACAAATACTGTGTATGGATATGCATGAATTCCAGAATCTAGTGGTACCTGAAGCCAGCTCTACTTTAGAGTTTCCAATTATATGAACAATATATAGTCTTCTCTTTATCGCTTACTGCCATTTGAATTGACATTTGAATGTGGTTTTCATCACAGTCAACAGATATAAAACTATATACAAGGACTGTGTTCCCTCAGATTCTAGTGACCAGATTCCAAAGTTGAGCAATAAGAAAAAGGGATCCAAGTCCCTATTCACTAATTTTTTTTCTAATATCAGGTACAATCTGGTCTTATTGGAAAACTATAAATTCTAAAATTTACTAAATTATGTGTCATATGTTAGGAATAGGAGGAAGATAAGGAGTTTCATCCAGAATGATCACATATGACTTTTGGCTAACTGATTAAGAAAAAAAAAAGACAGATCATGTTTACAAATCCATTTTTATACCAGTCTGTGTCTGGGTCTGAAACAGGAAATACGCACAAATTAATGGAAAGAAATCCCAAGTTAATGGATTGAAAGACTTAATATTGTTTAGATGTCAATACTACCCAAAGTGATCTACAGATTTAGTGTAACTCCTATCAAAATCCCAATGGCATTGTTTTAAGAAATAAAAGAATGCATTCTAAAATTTATGTAGAATCTCAAGATACTACAAATAGCCAATCTTAAAAAATAACAAAATTATAGGTTTTATGCTTCCTGATTTCAAAACTTATTGCAAAGCCACAGTGATCAAAACTGTTTGGTAATGAAATATAGACATGTAAGGCAATGGAACAAAATAGAGAGCCTAGAAATAAACTCTAACATATGAGGGGGAACCCCCCAAAATCAAATTATCTTCTTGAGGGCTAGCCTCTTGTAGCATAGGCTTTCCCTGCTAGGTGAGTATTTTAGGAACCCATCTGTATCAGTATACCAACTGACATTATTGTGAAAAGTTGTGTTTGGCTTCAATGAATTTTTTTGAAGACCCTTTCAACCAGTTTGCTCATTTCATGATGAGTGATTTATGAGTACACCCACCCACACTGTGCTGAGTGTTCAGCAGTTTTTAACCAAAAATGTCATGACCCCTGTGCCCCACCCTCCCTATTCACCTGATCTCACCCCAAGTGACTTTTTTTTTTAATTTCTCTGGATGAAAAAAGTCCTCAAAGGAAAAGGTTTTGCTGGTGTCTTCCAGTGAAACAAAAAAGGCAGAAGCACCAAAGGCATCAAAATCAACAAGTTCAAAAACTATTTTGAGCAGTGGAAAAAAACATCTTGCATCAAATGAAGAGTACTCTGAAGGTGACTGAAATTTAAACATGTAAGAATACACAATTTTTAATAAATAAATTCTGGAGTTTTGGGGGGGTCCCCCCTCATGTAGGGTCAAATGATTTTTGACAAGGATGCCAAGACTATGTAACTGGGACAGTCTTGTATAGACTGGGACAGTCTATACAAATGGTATATTTATATGCAAATGGATGAAGTTGGAACATTTACTTTACACCATATACAAAGTTAACTCAAAGTGTATGAAAGATCTAAATGTATGACCTAAAAGTATAAAACTCTTAGAAGGAAAAAAAAAACAAACAGGAAAAAGCTTCATGACATTGAATTTGGCAATGAGTTTTGGCTATGATGTCAAAAGCACAGGCAACAAAAGTAAAAAGGATAAATTGAACTACATTAAAATAAAAAAACTTCTGTGCATCAAAGGCTACAATCAACAGAGTAAAAGGAAACCCAGGGAATGGGAGAATATATTTGGAAATAATGTATCTAACAGTAGTTAATATCTAGATATAAAAAGAAATCCAGCAACTCTACTACAACAAATAACTTGATTTTAAGATGAGGAAAGGATTTAAATAGACATTGCTTCTAAGAAGATATAGAAATGGCCAATGAGCACATGAAAAGGTGCTCTAGAAGCAAAGAAAAATCAAAGAACTTCCATTGTTATTTTATCAAATATGGTACTTTTTGTTTTATAATGAGCATGTAATACTTATACAATTAAAAAATTTTTTTAGAATCTAATGAATAAACTGAACTAACAAGCCAAATAGAGAAAGACTCATAGAGAACAAGGAAGACTGCCACGCGGGTTGGTTAGGGGGTGGAGAGTTCCAGCAAAAAGGAAAAGGAACTCATGGACATGGACGACAGGGTGCTGACTGCGGGGGTGGGGGGTATAAGAAGGATAAACGGTAATGGGGAAAATACAATAAGAAATAAATAATTCTCAAAAAAATTTCAAGTGCAATTGGGAAATATGATTTTCACCCATTATTCCTCAAGGAAGGTAATTCATGGATCACTGCAACATCAAATGTTATAATATTTAACAAAGTAATCCAGTCAATGTGCCTACAAGTAAATTTAAAATAGTCTAGCAATGGTAACTCCAAATAAATGTTTTTTTAAAATTGTGTCAAAATCACATGAGAGGAAACCTATTTGCTATCGAAGGATTAGCCCTGCAACCCTGAACTCACCAACAAAACCTAAAAGGGCTTACTTGACTTTCAGCCACAAAACAGGCTTATGGTTTACCTTCATTAAGATACAAATAGCACAAGCCATGCCTACAGCACCAACTCCAACAATGGTGATCTTCCGCTGGGAGGTTTTATCTTCCTTAATTAGATTCTCAATAAGCTGCTCCTTGATCGTTGACATTTTGAGAACCTGAGAGAGAGAATGCAATTTCAGCGGAATCGAACTCCCTAAATAAATCACTCGCACAGATACTGATGGGCTTCATCACACTGAACAACTAAGAAACTACCTCTTGAGTTTGCGGAAAGCTGGAGCGGAGGTTGAGGGGAGGCCAAAGAAAGACTAGCCTGGTCAAGGAGTGTGGAGCGTAGAGCAAGGGCCAGTCTGTCAGTTGCAGGCGGTTGGGGGACCAAACGGCTTTTTGATTTCTCCCTGCCCTCACCCTCCACTTTCGCCCCTCTACCGAATACTCACAAATGCTTTGCTTTGCGCAACTCAGTAGAGACCCCCCGAAAGCATAACACACAGCCTTTAAAGAAGATACTTCAAACAGTAACCCCAGAAAAGAACACCGACGGCCTAACGTCAGGAAAAACAGCAACGGCAGCCAAAGTGCGAAGGCCAGCGACGGTTTGCTCGGAACCCTCACGCCAGCACGCTCCCTTGTACGTCAGCCCGCAGGCTCCGCCTCCGGCCAATAGGGCGCAGGCGCATTGGAGGACACTTCACGCCTCTGCCTGTAAGCGACATCATTGGCTACCTGTGGCTACAGCCTCGAGATGTCTGTGTGAAGAATTACGGACGTTCATGAAGCGTGTGCAAGAGAGGTAATTGGAGAGTTGTTTTGTTTACTTCAGCCGGCCTAGGCTTGGGACTGACTTTAGGGCTATGGCTTCTTCGGAGACCCACAACCGTCGGGGCAGGGTCCAGATCCCCATAGGAAAGAAAGATCCTTCTTGGGAGCAAGCACCTCTTAGGGTTTTGCTGGCTCAGAACAGCATCTTGCGGGAATTGCTTCCAATTCTTGAGGTGAGATCGAAGATTGGCAATTAATTTGGGAAGACCGTCAGTGTAGTTAAAAGGCTTGCTAAAAGAACCTGGGCCCAGCCCTGGCTGGTGTAGTTCAGTGGACTGAGTGCCAGCCTGTAAACCAAAGGGTCGCCGGTTTGATTCCCAGTCAGGGCACGTGCCTGGGTTGTGGGCCAGATCCGCAGTGGGGAGTGCAGGAGAGGCAGCCACACACTGATGTTTCCCTCTTTCTCCCTCCCTTCCCCTCTGTCTAGAAAGCAAATAAATAAAATCTTCAAAAAACAAACAAAAACAAAAAACGGGGGCGGGGGGGCCGGCCTGGACAGCAAGGATAGAAATTTAAGTGAAGTGCGGGCTTGGGAGTGACCAACCTGACTTTGCGGAACATACGGTTTGAGTGTGCTTATCACACCCTTGTCCAGACATTCATTGGCAGGAGTTTTTTAATTTATTATTAAGCTCCTTAATTTCAGGATCGAATGGTGAAATAATGTTCAGATTTCTGTTGCAAAAACAAAGTAATAATGAAAAGGAAAGGCCACATCTAATTTTCAAAGGGTATTTTAATTTATGCAAAGAATTTATTCATAACTCACACAAGGGGACACAACCTCCTCTGTCATTTCTTGTCATTTGCATTTGAATCCTTTTCAAAATCTAAGAGGTAATTTATTTTCTGAATCAAAACCTTTGTTGTTTTTTTATTGTATTTTTGGCGTGTTTTTAATATAGTTGAGATCATGCAATAACCCTGCTCAAAACCGTTCAATAGTTTTCCATTCTACTTAAATTAACCAATTTTTACAACCTAAGAGACATTCAAAATTTAGCCTCCTTCTACCTCTGCAATTTCATCTGAAAACATTCTCATCACACTCTCTCCAGCTTTTGCCATGTTTTTCTTGGCACAAGACCTTTTTTTAAGATTTTTAAAATTTATTTATTTTTAGAGAGGGAAGGGAGGGAGAAAGAGAGAGAAACATCGATGTGCGGTTGCTGGTGGTCATGGCCTGCAACTCGGGCATGTGCCCTGACTGGGAATCGAACCTGCGACACTTTGGTTTGCAGCCTGCGCTCAATCCACTGAGCTACACCAGCCAGGGCTGGCACAAGACTTTTTGATGGACATGGACATGGACAATAGGGTGGTGATTGCAGTGGGGAGGGAAGTATAAGGGGGTAAATGCTAATGGAAAGAAATACAATTTAAAAAAAAATTTTTAAGACTTTTTGCTGTTCCCTATATTGGAAAGTTCTTCCCCAGCCCTTTTCCAAGCTGATTGCTCATTTTCCATCTTGAGCATAAATGTCACTTCCTTTAGTTTTCCTTGACCAATGTGTCAACTGCCACAGCATCCCTACAAACCTCCTATTATTCTTGTGGCACTTCAACAACCTACTGCCAGCCCCAAGCAGGTGTCTATGGTAGACAGGAGTGGCAGGCACTGTGGGTCCTGTACTACCACGTACTTGTGTGCTTCCTTCCACAGCAACTCTACCCTTGCACCTTGTTTACCATGAGGCTGAAAGGGAGATCCTGCTGAAAGGAATGTCCCCCAAATTCAGGCTCTACACCTGCTTCATGCCCTTATTTGCTTAAAGAGATATCAGCTGGTAGTGACCACACTGCTATAACTGAAGATTTCATTCATACCTGCCCAAGGTGCAGGGCATTGGCAGGAGCTTGACATCCTCTCCGGCAGAGTGGATTCTCGGATGGCTGTGATCCAAGCTAACCTATCATTTTGCTGTACCGCAGCAATGTAAATACAGGAGTGCCAAGATTCGTCTGGCATATTCCAACACCTGCCAAAGTATAGTAGGTCCTCAGAAAACAATTTGAAAGAACGTGGCTCGGAAGTCCTGATAATTTTCTCAGTATAGGCTTTAGTGAGGGAAAAAAAGCTACACATACACATACATATACAGATATAGGCCTACATGGAAGGAGGACCATGCTCTGAACATTCTAACTTGCTTTCATCACTAACTGACAACTTTTGTGAGTTGGGGCTAAGACCTGCTTATTCCACGTCCCAGGGTATTAAGACTAAAATAAGATCATATTCCATTAAAAAGACTTGGGTCTCCTTGAAGAGTTGGCCTATTCCTTGCCTGAGATAGGAAGATTCAAGGTGTCCCCGGAATACTGATTATGACAGAAAGCAAGAAAGCTTTACAAGATTAAATCTGAAAATTTATAAAAGATTACTCTCTTAAGCATTATTTTTCATTCATGTTGGTGTTGACTAATTTATTGCATCAAGTAATATGAAATCAATAATGTAAATCTTTTTTTTTTTAAAAGACTAAATGTGCTTAACTTAAAAGGCTCTAGGAATAAGTACACATTTCTTTATGGGGAAATTTAAGTCCTAGGATCTACTAAGTATCTACTGGTGATAGTGCACAACTATGTGGATCCTCAGAATTGTATACTTTAAGAGTAAATTTTATGGTACGTTACATCTTAAAGCTGTTTTTGAGAGCCTATAGGAAAACAAATTCTGTGATTGTTAATTGTCAAGACTTACAGTGTAGGTCTTGTCACTTTACACTGAAGACACATAACAAAGAAGTATAATTCTTCCCCTTTCCTAGCTCTTAGGAAGGACATTTTGGGAGAGATTCTCGAGAAGTGATAACCATAGTTGTTCTAGTTAACCTCTGGAAGTAGTTTTTAGGCCTGGATAAGGGTCATAGTTACAGAAATATTTTAAGAAATCTAAAGAAAATTTTTGTGTAAACAACCACCAGGTCATTTGGTTTAAAATTATTAAGTACAATAGTCCCCCCATTTCTCTAGTTTCACTTTCCATGGCTTGTTACCCAGTCTGAAAATATTAAATGGAAGATTCCAGCAATAATTTCTAAGTTTTAAACTGCACACCATTCCAAGTAACATGAGATCTTGCATCATGTTGCTCCATCCCGCCTGAGCCATGAATCATCCCTTTGTCCAGATTATCTATGCTGTACACACTGCCTACCCATTACTCGCTTAGTCAGTCACCTCAGTTATCAGATCAGCTAGCCCTGACTGGTGTGGCTCAGTTGGTTAGTTGTCCTCCTTTAAACCAAAGGTTGCTGGAGAGATTGCTGGTCAGGTCACATGCCTGGGTTGAAGGTTCTGTCCTGTTGGGGCATGTGAGAGGCAGCTGATCAGATGTTTCTCTTTCTCCCTCCCTTACCATCTAGAAAAATAAAATCTTTAAAAAAATAAAAACTGTATCACAGTGGTTGTGTCAAGTAACCCTTATTTGACTTAATGCCACATTCATAACTTTTTAGTCTGTTTTATTAATCCCATTGCTCTAAATCTAAAACTTTATCATACCCCATACATATGAGAAAAAAAGCACAGAAAGGGTTTAGTACTGCCTGTGGTTTCAGGAATCCACTGGAGTCTTGGAATTCATCCCCCATGGATGAGGGGGACGGACTACTGTGCCATGTTACTGACCTCTAGAGAGCACAAGTTCTGGAACACCTGTGTTCCCCTGTAGTGGCAAAGTACCACTCCTTATGTCCAGTTGGCAAATAATGTATCTTACACTAGTGAGTAATATGTTATCTACATGAATTGTAGGGTATCAATTATGATTAGCACTATTACCAAGTTATCTTATAAATAATACCTTGGGGCTTTGTATAGCAATTAATTAAAACAATTAATTATAACAGAAATGGTACTAAAATAACCTAGTCAATCTAGTCACAGCCTTAATATATTAATTCATATTAAACTGAAGTCTGATCAATAGTAAATAGTACCAACAATAAAGAATAATTTGGGGCAAAGTAATTCAACAGTAATTACAACTTTAAAAAAAGTGAATAACCCTTAAAAAAAGTTCAATCGCAGCCTTGGCTGGTGTGGCCCAATGGACTAAGTGGTGGCCTGCAAGACAAAAGGTTGCCAGTTCAATGCCCAGTCAGGGCACATGCCTGGGTTGTGGGCCAGGTCCCTGGTTGGGTGGGTACAAGAGGCAACCAACTGTTTCTTTCATTTTCTTCCTCCTTTCTGAAAATAAAATAATAAAAAAAAAGCATATAAGCCTTTAATCTGATCCCCACTTTGCTTTCTCCCACCCTCCTGTAATCTTCCTTATGTTCCCTCCTTAATTTCAAATGCATTAAAAAAAATCATTGCAGTTGCCCAAAAATAACCTAACAGCCCCCAATAATGTAATGAATGCTGACTTTATATCTCAATTAATTAACAGAGTAGTCACTGTTCAAGGTTTATTTGGTGTTTTAGTTGGTATGACACTTGGATAGTTGGCTACATTATTTACATGTAGACTTTCTTTTTACATTATATGGCAAGGTACACTAATCTGATTCATATAGTACACAAAATAAGATCCTTAAGAAGTTATGCACAAGACATGCAACACTGGATTTATACATTGGATCCCAGGATGTGATTGACTGGAGAGAAAAAGTTGGACTAGGCACGCTGGGTAAAGGAACCACAAGTTACGTAACACATAGTGGACACTCATCTAGTTTGAAGGGCAACTGCAGTGTGTGCAACATTGGCAGTGGTGCCTTTGAAGAGGTGGAACTGTTTCACACTGACCAGTTTAGGACTACGCAAGGTAAGTACCATCCAGCATCAGGACAGAGATACAGGTGAACCATGACTATTTTTATCTTTAGGAAATTGGTGTTTTTAGTCATAGATCAGATAAAAGGGGCAATATGCACAATCTCCAACTAAAATCCTGTTGTAGCCTCAACAGTGAGGTGGTACATTAGAAGACTTTAAAATTGCAGCTCTTTCTGGATCCCCCACAGTGTATCTGCACTCTTCTTCAAACGGGCCTCTTCATCAGTTGTCAGAGTCACCTTCACAACATCTGAGATTCCATTCTGCCCCAAGATGCAAGGAACACTGAGGAAGACATCTTCTTTTATTCCATAGAGACCCTGAAGACAAAATGGAAAAAAATTTATGTTTTTTCAATGCATTCTGGGGGCTCCCAAAACTTTCATTCTCTACATTATGAAGCTTATTTGATACAGCTTAATACGTAGAAATTCCTTTCCAGATTTTCAATTAGGATGTAATGAATAGTGTAAAATAAAATAACTAAAATAGCAAGACTTCTATTCTAAAAGAAAACCTAAACTATTGCTATTATCCATAGTACTTTCTAATTTTTATTGCATAACACTTTGGTAACTCTAATGTGAGTGTGATTTCCCACAGGAAAATAAAAAAACCTGTTTCTTTTATAGTCTTCCACCCATCTCAACATAATTGAATAGTTATTTTAGTCAATAAGTTACCAAGTATCTATGTGCTGAACACAGTGCTAGAGGATATTAATCCTAATGCTCAACCATGTTTTTTCAAAAAAGAAATATGCAGGTGCATTAATTTATTTATTAAATCAATGATTGAATACTTAATCTAATTGCTTTCTCAGGAGAAATTGAAAATAAAACAGGAAATAATGGCATTCAAGTACAAGATATCACTACATAGACCTACCTTGATCATGGTGGAAATGGGATGCACCCGCCTAAGATTCTTCATTATACTTTCTGCCAAATCTGCCACAGACAGTCCAATGGCCCAGGATGTATAGCCTTTCAGTTTGATCACCTCATAAGCACTGTAGGGTGGGGAAGGTGGGAGAGGACAGGGAATGACAGAGAAGGGCAGGGAAAAGTAAGGTAGGAGAAACAAAGAAAAACAAAATTTTCACTGAGCATATGCTTTATAGTTAATAATGCCACAAAGTTGCATTATATATATAAGAGTAGACCTTGCCATGTATACCAGGATATTATGTACAGGGATGTTTGCAACACTATTACCAGTAATAACAAAAACCTAGCAGCAAGCCCAATGCTCTCCAACAGGAGAATAAATAAACTATAATTTACTCATATACTCAACTATTACATAGCTATCAAAACAAATAACCACAGTGAGATGCAACAAAATAGATGACTCTTTAAAATATAATACTGAATTTAAAAAGTAAATCCAAGATTACATACAGCATGCTTACTCGTAATTATCTCAAGTATGTAGGGGCGGGGTGGACAGGGGGAGATGGGGGAACACAGAATTTATTCATTTCTAAGCACCAGCAGACTAGTAATTCTGACCCAACAAACACTACAGTTAGTTGATAGCTACTGCCAATGTTTCTTGGGTTGGGTGATGGGTTCACAGGTTTTATTTAATTAAACAAATATAAGAGTGCCTTGCCTAGACTGATCATGATTCATTATTCAATTCTATAGACCTGAGGTCCACACATGATCATATGATTTATAAGTAAATAATGCCACCAGGTAGAAAGCATTCCTATTTCACCTAGTTAATAAGTATTTACATTAATTTTTTTTTTAAGATTTATTTTTAGAGAGAAGGTAAGGAAAGGAGAGAGGGAGAGAAACATTAATGTGCCATTGCCTCTTGCACGCCCCCTACTGGGGACCTGGCCCACAACCCAGACATGTGCCCTGACTGGGAATCAAACCAGTGATCCTTTGGTTTGCAGGCCCGCACTCAACCCACTGAGCTACACCAGCCAGGGCTATATTTTTAATACCATTATGAATGTAGCCATTGCTTAAAACTGTATAATCATCTAAATAAAAAGCTAGCTGTGTTTCTATTCCTAAAAGCTACATAAAAAGATCTTGGACTTAAACTTCTTATTCCTAAATGAATGGATCATATATGCTGTTGAAGAAAAGACTACCCAAATAGGGTAGACTTAATGTAATTTTTCTATCTTAATAGTTTACAATATAAGCACGAAAAGATTTCTCAGGCTATAAATTGGGAATTATACAAAAGGTAGACTATAGCATTGATAAATGTCTATAATTTTCAGTATCTTGTTTTTATTACTCAAAAAAGCTGCATATTTAAGATTTCGCTGACTCTGTGCATGCCTTCCAGACTTTCACAGCAATTTTCTGCTCCTCAGTAAGGAAAACACGCTTGATCCTGTCACAGGCACAGCTAGGACACAGGCACCCACCACAGGCCCTGCTGGCAGGCTTTTCTGTCTTAGACAACTGCATCAGAACTTCAGGTCTCAGAGCACGAACTCCGTGAAGTTGGCCTGGGCACATGCCACACACAGATTTTGGTGCTTTCCCAACCTTCTTAGTATAAGGTAAACAATTTTGTTCCCAGGGGTTCAGGACAGCCTAGTTTGTGAGAGGCTGTATTATAGGACGGCCTCTGATGGTATGTCAAACACTGGACCACTGTGAATGCCTGAAGACACCGTCCCCAGAAACAGAGTAACAATATCTTTACCTCAGTTTATAGTATGATCTTTAACAAGGCTTTAGAAAACAAGCTTTCTCTCTAACAAAAAGTACTCAAATGCAAATGCTATTCAACTATTAATCTTTTAAATAAAAATAATGAAACTTAATCTTCCATATTACCTGTCAACCACCTGTTTGTGAACTTCTTTCCACTGCTCCTTATCTGCATCGGTGCCTAAGGCAGGGTGCAGACTCTTTAGGGAGACGCCAGCAACATTCACTCCGCTCCACACAGGCACTGAAAGAAAGAGCACAAAATGCATTTGTTTCCATGCCCCAGCTAGCAGACTGGTAATTGTGACCCACAATTCTAATACTCTTTTATCTGGGGAGGATTACCTCCTTTTGGCAGATACTCTAGACTACCAATGCCCTTATTTACAGATTTTCATTTGTTTAAATTTTATAAAACTAAGAATTCACACCTACCCCATATTCCTAACCTATTCTAATATTCTAACCCATTTTCCTAACCTATTGGGATGCTTAATCCATATATATTTGAATATAAAGATAGTACAAGATCCTAAAGGGAATTAATTATCTTGGCATTGGGAACAGACCTCTGCACAAATTATAACACCTTTCAACTGTGAAAATAATAGAATTTTTTCACACTATCCATTTGACTTGGCTGAACTTTTTTTCAGGGCCAAACAGTGCAAGTCAAGTATAAACAGCTAAGATATCAAATGATTTAGGTTACCCTAAGAACTATTAATATCTCCACAGTAAGAAGTGAAAGGAATTTCATTCCCCATCCTGCATGCCAGATAAATATCATACAAAATGGCTAAAATCTTAAAACAATAGATTTCTGGAAACAATCCTACCTTGATGAATGGATATTTGATTTAGGCCCTTATTTTAAAAAACTGTCAACTTTTACATACTCTTTTTGGAAACAAGAAAGAAAAAATAAATTATTCTTACCACTCGAGTCTCCATGCTCCCCAAGGACCCACCCATGACAGCTTAATGGGTGAACTCCCAGCCTTTCCCCCATTAGGTAACGGAACCGGGCTGAATCCAGGTTGCAACCACTTCCAATAACACGGTTTTTGGGAAAGCCACTTATCTTCCAAGCCACGTAGGTCAAGACATCCACTATGAAGAAAACATGTAGGCAAAGACACTAGGTGAACCACTAGATAATGACTGGCTACTCAAGATACCTGGTGGAGGCCTGCCTGAGATCAGCCGCTGCCAGCGCAACCGCCTTTGTCCACACCTCCACCATGCCGCCCTGCACCATCTTCTACTTCCCTGTTCACGGGCGCAGCGAGGCCATCGCACGCTGCTGGCTGACCAGGGCCAGAGCTGGAAGGAGGTGGTGACCAAGGTGACCTGGTTACAGGGCTCACTGAAGGCCACCTGCCTGTACAGGCAGCTCCCCAAGTTCCAGGTCAGAGACCTCACCCTCTACCAGTCCAATGCCATCCTGCGGCACCTGAGCTGCTCCCCTTGGGCTACACAGGAAGGACCTCTGACGAGCAGCCCTGGTGGGTATGGTATGATGAATGATGGCGTGGAGGAGCTCTGCTGCAATCACAGGACCCTCATCTCCACCAACTACGAGGTAGGCAAGGAGAGCTATGTGAAGGAACTGTCTGAGCACTTGAAGTCTTTCGAGACCTGTCCCAGAACCAGGGGGACCAGGCCTTCATCGTGAGCAACCAGATCTCCTTCAAGGACTACAACCTGCTGGGCTTGCTGCTGAATCATCAGGTCCTTGCCACCGGGGGCCTGGGCTCCTTCCCCCTACTCTCAGCCTACCTGGCTCGCCTTAGTGCCTGACCCAAGCTCAAGGCTTTCCTGAGCAACCCTCCCCACCCCCCACCAATAGCACATAAACCTCCCTATCAATGGCCACGGGACACAGTGAGAGAGGGGCTGTGGCACCCTCAGCAGGTGGTAGGGGCTGCCTGCATCCCCTTTCCAAGGACCAATAAGATATATGGTTCTGTATGAACCTTCTTGATAATGATCATGGCCGATGTTTTTGTTTATATTGTAGGAACCTCTACAATATGTCTAATATAGCAAAACATTAAGTATCCAAGAGATGCACTTTAATGAAAATAAACTGTATCAATTAAGAGAATAACACATTATCCATAAACTTATCCCTTATCTGAGATGTTCTTGCACAGGTAACTAATTTTAATGTTTCAACTACATTCAGAGGCACTATATCCCCTTTCGTGTTTTAAACTATTTTACAAAAACACAACTCCACTCCAGGAAGAACATGAAAGATGAGAAATAAATATGTGTATATAATATAATATATACTATTAGTTTTACTCCAGCTCATCTATTTTTATGCAATTAAAAACCTCACCTGGATTGGAAACCACAAGCAATTTGCAGTTCGGACTGTATTTTACAACATTAGGAATGATGAATTTAAAGATGTTCACGTTACGCTGGACCAAATTAAGACGGCTTTCTCCCTCCTGTTGACGTGCCCCAGCTGTGATAATAACCAGCTTGGAGTTTGCAGTCACATTATAGTCTAGACAAAAGAAAACAATAATCAGATTAAGGCTTTTAAGAGATCTCCATTTTCTAGCCAGCGAAAATTTTTCCATAAACAATTTTTTTAATGGACAGTTTTATGTGGCTTGTGTATCCGGCAGAAAAATGTCCCTAATGCCACCCCCCTCCAGACTCCTGTCCTTTAGGTTTTGGAGTTTTATCACTGGCCACTCACATGAAGGAAAAGTACATCAATGCCTTCTTTGTATTTTGGTTTTCGTCACATTGTGACTTTATATAACTACAACTGGGGGTGGGGAGCTGCAAGGAATAAAACTTCAGTCTTGTATCAAATGAGATACACTGAAATTTTTTTTTGCTACCTGAGCTCAATGCTCACACTCTTCCACCATCCTACTTTGACTTAAATACTTAATTGTGGTCGTATCAGCCCAGCAACAAGCCTTTATCAAAAAAAAGCAGAGGCAGCTAACTTTACACTTATCAACTATATTTTGCTCCTAGGTCCCCATGGCACAGGATATTTAACCCAGGAATGAAGATAATGAAGAGAGTCGCCTATCAGATAAATGGTCAGTGATTTTCAAGTGTCAAAACAGATACTATTTGGGTCCATGCCCAGGGTTCCTAGCTGATGCTCATTAAGTGTGAAAGGGTCAAGCCAAGAATATCTGCTGAGCAGGCTGTTACACTACTCTCACCATTACGTTGGTGTGTGAAAGGAAACAGAGAAAGGATTGATATTTATTCTAAGTATTTGAAGCAATGTAGTTAAATATGGACCTAAGGAGCTTTCTAATTACATTCTAATTCATATGCTTTCCATATCATGGCCAAGCTGGATTTCCATTTAAACCATTTACTAGAAATTGAGACTTTGATATCAATAGATACCAATGCAAAATTGTTCAAAGGCTCTTTCATCCTGTTTAAAAGAAATATTTGAAGAGCTGGGATTTTGAGCCTGATAAAGAATTAGGTCTAGCATGGACTACAGTATAGACGTGTTGAAATTAACCTTTGCTAGAGACAATTTTTGGTGTTCTTAGGAAAAGGCTGCCATGTTGGAGATCCATCATCTCTCCCTTTAATTTGTCTTCCATGACATCAACAAGAGCAAGTTCATCTGCCAAGTCCTAAAAGACAAAGTTTTTAGTTAAATCAAAATTGCTTCGAAAGGTAACAAACATCTCAAAAATAAAACTTTTTCAACTACCAAAAAAAATTCCTACTTCCAAAGTTTTAGATGGGCCTGCAAAATTTCCGTATTTCTGGCATAGGAGCAGGCCCCCACTTAAAAGCTGATGCACAGATGATCTGTACATAGTAAGAAGCACTGACCCTCTCCCCAACCCTCTCCTCACAGCTGTAATCTCTGCAGCAGCCAAACCACCTCTATGTAGAGACGGAACACTGCATTGGCAATAGTTGGGATAATGTCCAATTTGCGTTTCTCTCTCCAATTCAGTTGTACATATCGATTTTAGGTTGTTATTCATTAAATAGGTAATATGAACCAGTATTAAGACTTGGAATTAAAAAGTGATATTTTGGACGATTTCCTGGTTACATTTCCATATATTAATGACAATGGCAATTTTATACATAGATTTGTACATTTCTAAATATTAGTGAAGCCCTGGCCAGGTAGCCCAGTGGTTAGAATGTCATCTTGAAGGTTGTGGGTACAATCCCTGGTTAGGAATACATATAGAAATCAACCAATGAATGCATAAATAAGGGGAACAACAAATCGGTATCTTTCTTTCTCTCTCTCTAAAAATCAATGAACACAAAATTTTAAAACGTATTAGTGAAAAATATCTTTTCAGTTGAACCTATGCAGGTTTACATCTCAGACCAAGAGCACCAATAATAGTTTAGTACAAATGGGATGTGGACCATCATAACCAAAGAAGTTGTATAGCTGAGCTGCAGATCTACCCCCAAATTATCTGCAATATAATGAGCGGTGGGGCTGTTACTCTTCCCCGCACCTAAATTAGAGGGCTTCTCAGAAAGACCATGGGTGGTACAGGAAAGACGTACCAATTTCTGATTCAGAGGGTAAAGAAATAAGAGTGGGTATACTTTGTGGCCTTTCCTAAGAACAGATAGAGTTAAGTGTTGCTCTGCAACTTCTGCGGAGCTCATTTCTGTGGTCAGTCTCTTCTCACTTGAGTCCTTCTCTGTTCAGAACCCAGAACTCACCATTTCACTTGACCTCTTGCATTACACTAGGAACCACAAATCTGAACTTAAAATATTTTAATATTGCAAGCTGCCTCAATTTGTTGTATATAAACCAGGCCTGACTCTACTAACAAGTGTTCTTTCTTCATGCACAGGTTCTTCTTTTCTAATTAAACTTTAGGTTCCATAATTGGTAGCCAAATTGCTATCCAAAAGGGACCCAATGGGGATTTGTATGGAAGCAAGACTCTAAGATTTCCCACATTCAAAAGAATAAAAATGAAAAATAAAATTAAAACTTTTAAAAAATTAAATTTTTTATTTTTAAAAATTTTATTTATTTATTTATTTTCAGAGAAAAGGGAAGGGAGAAAGAGGGAGAGAAACATTGATTGGTTGTCTTCACATACCCATAACTGGAAACCTGGCCTGTAACTCAGGCATGTGCCCTGACCAGGAATTGAACTGGTGGCCTTTTGGTTTGCAGGCCAGCACTCAATTCACTGAGCCACACCAGCCAGGGCAAAAAAAATCAAATTCTAAAAAATAAAAACATCCATTCCCTTTACTGACAAAATAAAAAAAGATTCTCCCACAATCAATGTAATTTTCTTTTTAAAAATATTTTTATTAATTGATTTTGGGGGGGGGAGAAAGGGAAGAGGGAAGGAGAGAGAGAGAGAGAGAGAGAGAGAGAGAGAGAGAGAGAGAGAGGTAGAGAGAGAGAGGGAGAGAGAGGGAGGGAGAGAGAGAGATCCGGATCAACTGGTTGCCTCCTGGTACTGCCCTGATGGGGGGAGTTGAACCAGCAACCTTTCAGTGTATGGGACCATGCTTCAACCAACAGCCACACTGGCCAGGACTTAATGTGATTTTCATTTTACCATAGTATATATTATTTCACTTCAAAAATTACTTTAAAATAATTTTAGTTTGTTCCATTGCTGATGTGGCTCAGTGGATTGAGTGCCAGCTGAGAAAAGTCACAGGTTCGATTCTCAGTCAGGGCAATGAAATAAAATCATTTAAAAAAATAATAATTTTAGTTTATTTAAAGGCAGGGATGCTTTCATGGTAGGCACTTCATGCATGTTAATACAGCAGAGTGAATTTAAGAAACTGGGTTGTCAGCCTAATGACCTTTGATTTTTTCTTTATTTTTTTTTAGTTCTGATAGATACTTTTTGGCATAGCATCATATTTCAAAAATTTGTTTCATAAAAAGTTCTTTGAATGAACCTCAATATTTGTATATGCAATGTAATAACGCAATTGCTAGGGAGGGAGTAGAGGGACCGGTGGGGTCAAGGTATCCTTGGCTTCCAGAGTGATGGTCTCTCACTTACCTTCATTAAGATGCTGATGGCACAGGCCATGCCAACAGCACCAACCCCAACGACTGTAATCTTATTCTGGGGGGTTTGTTCTTCCTTAAGAAGATTCACAATCAGCTGATCTTTGAGAGTTGCCATATTGGACTTAGAACAAGGAATCTGTAGGGGGGAAAGCATACAACCTCTTTAACACTTATTAACCAAAAGTTATTCTGAAAAAAGCTTATTTCAATTTCTTCTGGGGTATTTGCCATGAAAAATCACAAGGGACGACTAAAAAAAGGGAGGGGGAAAAAACCTAAACACAGCCAAAGGCGAGCCGAGAGGCTCTGCGGTCTGGCTAGGTCTTGGAGTGAAGAACCTCACCTTGGCATGGAAAAATAATATGGACGTGTGGGTGTAAGTATAGCTTCCTGAGGGCTCGCTCATCTTGCTTTATTAAGCCCAGGCTGGGCCAGCCTCGCTTCAAACAAGATGAGTGTGAGCCGTCTACTCCCAGCTCCTGCCAAGGCCCTCAAGTAAGGACCAGAGAGATGCGTACAGAAAGTGCCATTAACTGTCTCTCCGCCGAACCATGAAGTAGTGAAGCCTGTCGTGACCACTGCTCATGCGCGCTCACTCAACTCTCCCCACCCCACCCCCTCCCCCCCCTGCCCCCGCAGTGGCGGAAAAGCAGACCAACTGCGGCGTCCCCCGGAGCCCTGGGGTTTCAAGGCCCGCCCAGACCCGGAAGACGAGACGCCACCGCCCGCCCCTCCCCCATCCGCCAGCCCGCGAAACTCGCGCGCATGCGCATTTCAGAGCGCTGGGAATGGACGCGAGTGGTCTAGAGGCCACCGGTTGCAGAGGTGGATACCGGCCCCGCCCGCGAGCGGAAAGGATTAGGAACTAACCTGCCAGTGAGGTCGGAGGCAAATATCTCGGAGCCAGACTTTAGACTTAACTAGTGCTCCCAAGGAGACGCGAGCCACGTGAAGCCCGTATGGCAGCCTCCCTGGCCTGGCGCAGGGCCAGAGCCAGGCTTTAAGTCGCTATGCCAGGGATGATTAACCGACCCGGAGGGAGGTGCCTGGTGTGGCTTCTGCTGCGATCCTTATTGCAAAGGCGTGAGGCCCAGTTTGGGGAAATTTTGTCAGTACAGGAAGTGCAGAAACAGCTTCCGAGGACTGAGGCCTGGGATCTTAATACTTGTCGGAACCCTCGATTTCCAGAACTGGGGAGGGAACGAACCTTCGACTGTTAATCCAACCCTGCACTGCACGCCCTGGATCTAGTCTTGTCAGCGCTCCAGTGGGCAAAAATATCCGAGAGGGCTCACAGGCAAGCAGCCCAGGGTCACCAAGCTGGAATCGGGTCTCTCCTTACAAATCGCCGCTATTTCTAGACATCCTTGTAAGGTTTCTGCAGCCTAGCAGGGGGAAGGGCGTTCTTCCTGCGGACACCTGGTTTCACCAAAACCTAAGCGCGGGACTCCTGCGCTCCCTTCAATGTGGGGACACGTGTAGAAGAAGGGACCCTGCAGAAAGAGGGTCTACTCCCCAACTCTGCCACCACTAATTGTGATCTTAGAGATGCCTTAACCCTCTCCCAGCTTTAGGTTCCCCCATAAGTCGAAAGGAGACTGCTCCGTACGATTCTCATCTCAACAGACGGTCTGAAATGCGGGAGGGCTGAGACACCCTTCCAGCTTCATCTTTGCAGCGCCCCACAGATACACCAGTAGCTACTCAATAAATATAGTTGGCACAAGGAGCAGTCTATAATCTGCGGGCAGAGGCCGCCCACCTCTCGAGAGTCCCAGGGTTAAAATGCGACCCGGGCATGTGGTGCTCAGCGGCTTTCTGGCTTCCAGGAACCCGCCCAGGCTGCTGAGGCTTTTTCCGCTCCACTGCCTCCGGGAACCAGACCTCGAGGTCTCCGCGGTTTGCCGAGTTCCAGCCCAGAAGTATGCCCCACCGCTCAGACCCGTCCTCTCCTTGTCCTAATGCACCCACTTGGGCTTTCCACCCCAGGTTAGGTAAGGGCCACCTCCTCGGTTCCCCAGCACGGCCAGAGCAAAAGCGGAGCGCAGCGGGCTCCGCGCCCAGGCCGGTCGGGGGACACCACCCAGGTCTCCAGACTAGGGCTCTAGGAAGCAGCGCCTATACCCCCAGGGAGCAGGGACTGCCTGTCAGGTAGCGCCGGGCCAGAGAGGCCCAGGACCACTAGCTCGTCAGCCCTATCGGGCTCAGAGAGCGCCGGGCCCTACCGTACCGAGTGTGCACGGCAGACGGGCGTCGGTGGCGCGCGGCGCTGGATCCGGACTTGGCGGCAGCGGCTCCGGTACTCCGAAGTCGCACGGGAGGGGCCTTAAATAGAACGGTGGGGCTGACGTCAGAGGGGGGAGAGTGGGGCGGACGTGCGGGATCCCACGTGTGGGTCGGGCTGGGGGCGGGCTCCCAGCAGGGCTAGGCAGGGCAGTGCAGAGGCCCAGGCAGCGCGGGCGACCAGGCGACCCACCAGCGGACCTAACCACGTGCGCTGGGAGCCGCCCGGAGCCACTGTGCCCTCCCGCCACGAAAGCGCTTGAGGGAGCCACCAGCTGGGGTCAGGTCGACCCTCAAATTCCTCTTGCGTGAAATGTAGTGGTTACCCTCAGAAAAGGCTTGATTTGAATCTTCACCGCTATTTCTCGTTGCCCAGAACACCTGGCACGAAATAATCACTCGACAACTATTTGTTGAAAGTGGCTAGCACAGGGTCAGTCTCTCCTTACCTAAGACCAGTGACCTACCAATTTGACGCTGCGTTTTTTCCTCTTGCAAAACCTTCCAAGTCCCAGCTCAAAGTGAGGCCTCAGCTGCTCCAGTCTGCTGTCCCCACTGCCCCGCCCGCCCAGCACCTAGTGCCCAGCCACCCTCAACTGTCAGGGGTATTTCGTTTTTGTTAACATGTTATTTTTACCTCCACCCCAAGCCTTTGCTTAAATTGGCCTTCCTCCTCCATCTCCTCTTGAAACTACCAGTCTCCTGGTACTCTACTACACCCACAGAGTTGGTACTTCCTACCTGCGTCCACCCCACTGGTCTTCAAACCCTCTTGCATTAGAGGTGTGTGTCTGCTCTCCTACCTGACAGTGAGTCTCCAGGGCATAGATGGGTTTACTTCCTCCCTGCACCCAGGGCACCATAGCCTTAGCACCCAGCTCCCAGAAAGCTCCATAGTTGTGAGTTTCTTGGTTTTAAAGGGAAAACTCTAACCTCAGCTCCAGAAAAGCAGGGCATCTCTCTAGCATGTTCTAACAATTTCCACATCACTCCAGAAGGCTCAGAAACCTAGGCTCTCACCTAAAACACACAGCCGGCAGGGGTGAGTGAGGACCAGCCACAGGTTCTCCCGGGTTCCTGGGGTCAAGGAAGATTACAACAGTGTCTGTGGTTCCTCAGTGTTTGCAACAATGTCCTCATTCAGTTAGGCCTGGGCCCCTGCCTGCCTGCTTACCAAACATGACCAAAGCTCCTGAGAGGAGGAGGGCAGAACTCGGGGTGGAGGTTAGGCTAAGGACACAGGTAAAACCACTCACCAGGAGGGCTCTGGGATGACCTCTGAAGGTAATCTAGGCAAGGGGTTTGCTGTCCCCTAAATTAAGGCACGTAACAATAGCTCACTTCAAAGCATAGAGTCTCCTTTCTTATGCAATAGCATCTATTGCATCTATTTAACAATAGCATCTATTTAACTCTGCAAATATGAATAAAACAAGTATGGACCGAGCACCTCCTATGTGTCAGGCAGCAAGCTAGGCAATCCCTCATGCTCATCTGCACTTTAATTCTTTGGAATAGGCATAATTATCCCCACTGGTTTTTGTTTTTTTGTTTTATTTTGTTTTGTTTTTCAGATAAGGAAACCTAGACTAAGAGAGATTAATGACTTTGCCAAGGTCATACAACTAATAAGTGATTTCAGCAGGCACTTTAACCCTGGGCTGACTTCACTCCAAAGCCTATGATTTTTTTTTTTCTCTGTATGATGCTCTCTCTCCCCCACTCCACAAAGGTCCAGGACTTATGTAGGGGGCTCAGGCTAGCCCAAGGCTCAGAAAGTTCAGTTGTCAGTGAGAGGCGGTGGATATCAGTGAGTGTCTCTGCCTGTCTGCTTGAACTGAGAGATTGACCATTTCCCATCACCAGGTGGAAACTGATACCATCTGCTTTCCTGAGTCTCCGTCTTGCAGATGACAGATCGTGGGACTTCTAGGCCTCCCATCACATGAGCCAAGAATCATCACATGAGCTAATTCTTTACATTAAATCTCGATACATGTACACACACACACACACACACACAAACTGTTTCTTGGAAGAATCCTGACTAATACGATCCAAACGGAAGAATTTCCGTACTAAAGCCAAAGCAAAGGGAGGGACCCATGGAAAGGGTCAGGAAACACTCTATCAGAAGGTAAAACAGATTTCTTAAACTGATTAAGTGTTCTTAGGGGGTGACCTCTTTAAAAGAGAAAATCTCACGAAGAGGTGGTTTGACCAGGGTATCCTGGCCTCAGAGAATGGGTGCTCCTCAGCACCCAACACAAAATTTTCCTAAAACGGACCTGGCCAAAGAACAGTGTCCACCCAAAGCACAGTGCTGAGTCACTCCTCCACCCACTAAGTACTTGTTAACACTCCTGCTCAAGGCCATTCACTGGCCCCTCATTCCACTTTATTCCAGAATAAAACCCGAATTCCTTGCAAAGGCTCACAAGGCCTCCATGATTCAGTGCCCACCTACCTTCTCTGGCCTTATCTCCTATTTGCCTTCATGCTTCCTGTATGTCAGTCCCAAGTCTACTTACCACGTTGCCCAAGTGTGCCATGTACATCCACCTAGGCCGTGACTTCAGCCTGAATGTTCTCCCCCTTGCCAACATCTCTGCCCACCCAAAACCCACATCTTCATAGCTCAAGGACTATTCCTTGAGCTTTATGTTAAATTCATTCTTATTGCTGTTCATCTCTTTCTCACACTAGACTATAAGCTCCTAATAGAAACTTTCTTATTTGTCTCTATATCCCCAGCTTTTTACATTTATTTGTTTAATAAATGTATGTTGAATGGCGTGCCTGCTATGTAAAAGGCAATGTGCTAGGCGCTGGGAACACAAAATGAGTAAGACAAATGAATAAGCCTTCAGCCCTGACTCGTGTGGCTCAGTGGATTGAACGCCAGCCCGCAGACCAGGTCACCAGTTTTATTCTTTGTCAGGGCACTTTTCTGGGTTGCCGGCCAGATTCCTGACTGGGGGCAGCAACCAAATAAAAATAAATACATAAGCCTTCAAAGACTTAACATTTAGTGGTTGAGACAGACAGCATCCCCCCTGATAATTAAAATGCCAGATAGAATGTACGCTGCCACAAAAGTGGTAGAAAAATCACCAGCATTCAGAAGAGAGGCCCTCGGCTGGAGATGTCAGAGAAGGCTTCTTGGAAGAGGTAGCATCTGAGCTCAGCCTAGAAAAGGATCTCAATTGAGGAAGACTCGGTGATGAGAAAGTAGAGAACACAGCGTGAGTAAACAGGTGGAGGCAGGAAATTCAAGATGTGTCTGGTAAACCTTTAGCCTTAAATCCCAGGATGAGAAGATTGGGGGTTTTGTTTTTTGGTGGTCAGTGGAAGTCACTGATATTTTTGAAGAATGGAGAGGGAGAGGGTGAAAGCAAGGTGGCTGAGAGATCGTGGGGAAGGGGGTCACCTGGTTTTTAATAATACATGACAATAAGTTCAGAGCATATACAGCTCCAACCACATGGGCATAGAATATGCACTGCTCTGACACATCAACACAGCCCCACAGCCCCTCCGAACACTCACTGACAGCCTGACGTTTTCACCTTCTTCATGGTTGCAAAGCTGATGGCTTTGCTGAGTCGCAGGGCCCAGGATACAGATGGACTCATTGGTGTCCTCCCCTGGCCAGCAGGGCCTGCTGTGTACGTGCTAAAGCAGAGGTTCTCTCTCTGGCAAGACAACAGGCGCCACCCCTGGGTCCTGGAGGAAGTACTGTCATCCCCCCACAACTCCATCCGTCCCTTACACAATGGGAGGGGAAGCCAAAGACTCCGCCCAACTCCCCAGGTTCTCCTGGTGCCTTCCCTACCTCCGCCCCAACTCCCCACCCCCTCCTTTTCCTCCTCCAGCCTCGGCTTACCCTCAGGTACTAGAAGCTGCCTCTATTTCCCTTTTTGTCTTGGACTGTCATTCCCTCCAGAGTTCATTCTTCACATGACCTTACAGAACTGTCCTAACTTTTGGCATCTCTGGGTCACACTAGAAGAGTTGTGTTGGGCCACACATTAAATACACAAACGCTAATGAAAACTGATGAGCAAAAAAAAAGGTTTTAAGTAAATTTATGATTTTGTGTTGGGCCATATTCACAGCCATCCTGGGCTGCATGCGGCCAGCAGGCAGAGGGTTGGACACCCCCTCAGAAAGTCTAGATTCCCTTTGCTGTAGACAGAATGTTTGTGTCCCTCGAATTCATATGTTTAAACCTAATCCCCAATATGATGGTTTTAGAGGTGAGGCCATTAGGAAGTGATTAGGTCATGAGGGTGGAACTTCCTTATAAAGGAGGAGGCCCCAGAGAGATTCCTCACCTCTCCTGCCATGCGAAGACACAGCGGAAAGATCACTATCTATGAACTTGGAAGTGGGCCCTCACCAGACACCTGCTTGCACCTTGGTCTTAGTCTTCCCAGCCTTCAGAACTGTGGGAAATAAGTTTCTGTCCTTTACAAGCTATCCAGCCTGCAGCACTTTGTTCTAGCCATCCATATGGACTGAGATATTCTTCTAGTCACTTCCTACCCCAGGAAAGAGATAATGTCTGTGTCCCTTTTGCTCCATCTTTCTCTGCCAGGGAGTTAGGCCTCAAGCTTTCCATCACTTTGATAGATTCCAAGGCAAAGACTGTCACCAGAATCTAAGGGACTTCCAAACTGATGGTGCCGCAAATCAGTGCCACAGAGTCCCGAGGCTTCTCCAAGCCAGACAATGTGAAAGTGTCCCTTGCCTAGTCACAGCAGAGGAGGACCACCAGAAGCTACGACAGCCTTTCTCTCTGCTGCCTTAGGAGGCGAGGACAGTGACAGGCGTAGCTTAGCAAAGATGAGTGAGCAGCCTGGCGGAGTGGAGACACTGACCAGAGGGTAAGGGGACTGGGGTTCTTGCTCTGGCTTTGCCATAGACCTTAGGTGACCTTGTAGAGGCCACATTCCCTCTGTAGCCTCAGCATCCTTGACGGTGAACATCAGAGTGTCTCTGTCTTCCACTTCCAGCATCCAGGGAGGCTTTGAGTTAGTGAGCCAAGCTTCCATA